TGTCCTTGACTTTAACAAAGTATGCATTGTTTGTTTTAAAGAACCAATCCAAGCATATTGACATCCTGTAGACATGCCTTTAAAACAAGCCCTAGCACATTTTTGACTTCTTTTCAATGGCACTGTGGAGTAGGTCAAAGGGGTTCAGCAGAGGAATGTCCAGTATGCTTTACAAGAATGTCACAACTAAAACAGACAGCTTTACTCATCATAAACTGTCTATCATTGTAGCAAAAACAACTTAACCTAGTTACACCTGTATGATCTATACAGAAGTGCAGACATGAAATGAACATTGAACCCATTCAAGGGCCATAACTAGTGTTATTATATAGCATTATATTTATAGTATTAGCTTTTATTTTTATATTTTCATTTCATGCTTCATTTTGTTGGTTTAAGATTTAGTAATTTTGTTATATGCTTTTGTAATGTATTTTTATGTTTAGCTTCTTTAGTTTTATTTCTGTTTTAGCAATTTTAGTACTTATTATTCTCTGATATTTATCATTTATTTTAGCTTTAAGTCAATTAACAAAATTTTTTTTGTTTTTGTTAACAACACTATCATAACAGTTTTACAACGCTTTTGACAGACCGCTTTGTTTAAAAAAATGCTACAAAAAAATTATGAGCATGGACGTTTAAAGGCACAATATGTAATTTTCGCTGCTAGAGGGCGCGTAATCAAAATAAACAAATAGACAATGGTGTAGTTTGATGACGCCGTGACTGAGTGTGGAATCATGGGAGTTGTCGTGTTCATCCCCACAGCCGATGCAATCCGAAGGGACTTGGGCAGAAATCATGTTCATGGATGAGCTAATTTATTAACGTAGTAGAATGAAGCAGGGTGAGGCTGAAAGCTGTCGAAGCTAAACGAGGCACGAGGCGTGGGGAAAAAAAGCAGCGCTGTTTTATCATACTAGATACATTTGAAAGTTCTGTTATAATGTTACTCTGTGCGGTCGTCACCGGTCTATTAAAACGCACAACATATTAAAGCGTCTTTGGTATTTCCATGTTTTCTACAAAACCGGAAATCGAGGGGTTATGACGTCATTGGCAGGCGACACAATGACACTATGGACACGGTCCGTGTCACTAGTTAAAATTGCTTATTTCTCTGGATTTAAACATTCTTCGAAACATTTAGGATAAAGTACATAAGTCAGCAAAATATATAACACTGTTCTAGTGGTTTTTGGATATTTTAATTTAAAAAAATATTGTGCCTTTAAAGAAATGCTGAAACACTGTCCTCTCACAGGCCATAATAAATGATTAGAAACAGCGAACCTACAGATCATGTGAAGGAGTGGACTTTACACGCAATAGACGCCATCGAATGACAGTTCACAATGGCATGTACTCTCAAAGCGATTAACAACAGTAACTCATTTTCTGGCAAGCAACGACATTGTTTTCTTTATTACGGGCTCACAAATCATTTCACTGCAAATTTTAAGATGAGGTACGAGAGTAACAAAACCCATGCGAGTGGAGATGAGCCAAGTCCTTAGCATTTCAAATATGTAAGAAAATATCTAAACAAGACAACGCCTGCTTTGCATTGCACTGTTAAGCTAGAACAGGTCAGGATGGGATACCAACATAAGACCTACTTCTCAGCTGATCAATGCTGCTGAATATGTGGCACTGTATTACTACAAGCAGAAAATGTTTGTGCAATTATTAATTCACAAACTGTTTTGTGGAAAAAGTACGCCCAAACGAACCCCTCATGACTATAGAAACAACTTAATTCAGACGTCACCAGATCAGCTCATGCCAAGGTGGTGGTTACCAAAATTTTTGGTCTTGGAGGAAAACAAAAATGCTGTTTTACACATCAAAAGCCAATTTGTCATGCCCACATAATCAATGTCCTCACCTCAAATGTCCATGACTCAACTGCAATTTATAACTCAAGGAAAAATCTAGAAACAAAATGACTACGTACTAAATCCAAAGATCTTTTTTAGCAGCAATAAGGGTTAAACGTTAACATTCGTTGTAAAGTGTACAGCAGATCCACACGGCTGATCACCACCTGCTTCTCCTTAATAAAGAATCAGGCTGCAGTCACATGAAAGGCCCTAAGAAATGCTCCTGACATTTGTCTCCCTCTTTCATGGCGTTAAACACCTGCTGGGATCCAGCATTCTGGCTTCAGATGACTATCAGCGACAGAAATCATCACTCTCCAGAAAAACACTTCTCCCTCTCTTCTGCAAGTGAAAGCTCAATCATCCACTATTTGATGTTTCTTTTGTTTGTCGCCTTTTCCCATCAATCCACTGTAGAGGATTCATCACATTATGTGGAGAAAGACGTCTACACAATACAAGACGGCATAGCTGCCAATAAAAAGAGAAAATGTAAAGAGACTGACAAAGTAACAAGTGTTTTACAATAAAAGAATAACAAGCCAGTATAAGAATTCCTATCATTACATGTTTTACAATGGGCAAGACCCTCGTGACAAGACCCTTGTTCTTTTAAAACTCAGAGGAGTTTAAGCATCATCAACGCTCCTAACTTCCAGTCACTACACTGTCCCGCTCAGGCTAAAGGGATTATGCAATAAGCCATGTAATACCAGAGCCTTACTATGCTCAGGGAGACCGTGGTCTCGGGAACTATGAGGAATTCCTCATAAAACAGCCGAGACAGGAACACTGTTGCTCATTTTTCACTTTCATGCCTCCCTGAGCTTGCCATTCTTGTCTAATTTGCAGAACTAAACAGAAGACGTCAGTCTCGGTTCCTCTACAAAGCAGACCAACGCCTTTCTGGTTCTCTACTGATAGCCTAATTCACCTCTGCACAAAAACGTTCTCTGTTTGCGTCCCATACTTCCTGTTTTAGAGGAACCACCTTGTATAGGTTTCTTTAACACTTTTACACTAACCCAAGCCTTTAGTAAAAGCAATGAAATATGAATAATCGATATCCACCATCAATAAAATGCAACATTGGTTTTAATGCACACTTGAGTCTGGCAGGGTTTATGAGACTACTCATGCAGGTTTATGAAGCTGTGGGTGCATGTTTTCTTATTTTAAAACTAAAAATAAACAAAATTGTGTACTTGATCCTGTTCAGATGGCAAGGAAGCAAGGTTTTCAGGGCCTGTCCCACAAAACAAATTACTTTGACTAAAATGCAAAGTACAGTAGCAGTCAGGAATAATTTTCATCATGGGGTTTTCCCGATGCATAATTCAAAGGTAACTATTTACAATAATGTATACTATGAATAGTGTAATTTTGCAGGTAAAAGCCTGGAGGATGGGGGTTATGACATTTTATCTGTATTATAAGCATAAAACAACTTCCTGACTGAATGAACAGGCATATAAAGCATTGCAATGGAATATGTAATGAAGGTTTTCTGTTTCACTTGAGGGTGTGGTTGTTTACTGACCTATGCTGACGCAATAAGTAATCTCAAAATTGGTTCATTGTGTCATTTAATTTTAAATAAAAATATATGAAACAATCCTCCACCCTTAATATAATTATTAAGACAACCTCTTGTAAAAAAAAACACCTTAACATTGAGGAAGCCTCTGGACTACGTTTTAAAAAGCAGATAAAATATGCATGCTAACAATTTTATGATTTTTAATAATAATTGAAAAAAAAGATTTCATTAACAATTAGAGAACATTTATTACCTAGACACAGAACGCAAGCTGTGTAGTTGGCACTGTCAAAATATGAAAGCCTGATTACAAGCGAGCTATCAAAAATATCACACTAAAATAATAAAACACAAAAGGATTCTTGGTGCGTTATTAACCTGATATTAAACAACAAGGAAATGCAATATTAATTAGTTTTGTGTAGACACAAAACACCGTCAAATTTGTAACCGAGGCCTGTGAAGCCGCGGCTCTCAGCGCCAATGGATAACTATAACAGATGCTAAAGTTAGCATAGAGACAACCAGTTAGCACAACCGTACAGTTAGAATGAATGCCGATTAGCCCGAGGGTAACGCTAGTAGTGTTACTAATTCGCATATCCGATAGAGTTCGACTGGCTGCTGATTAGCATGATGCTAAACTTAGCATGTTAGTAATTAGCCTCCCAATGTGAGCGGTACAATAACAGCACCGCCTAGGCAAGATCGGAACAGCCTCTGACTGTGGTTTTTCTTAAGATTTTTAGATCATGTACGCGAATGTATTTGGATTAAATAATATTCGGATACCGTCAGCCCGGTTCCCAACACGATAACGTCGTATTCTTCATTCATTTTTCCTCGTCTTTAATCCCCTTTTCCTACGCGTGTCGGACCGAAGAAAATGGAGATCTTGCAAAGCTGGAAATGAAATAAGTGCGCTGTCACGTCACCACCAGTGGGTGTGTGGCTGAAGTGGGCAGGGCTTGCGAGTTTGCGCGTTCTACGCTGCGATTGGAGGACTGTGTTGTCAATCACAGTGAGCGAATACTCCGCCCCCTGATCACCAAACAGAACAGAACCGCTCACCTGCATAAAGTGGCGGGGATTTTGATTCATGACTCGAATCTTTAAATACGTTCACAGTACTTAAAATATATTTTGTTACTTTCATTTCTATAAAGAATAACAGTAAAGCTAAGAAGATAATACATATATGGCTAAATTTATATTATATCAATTTATATGGATGTTATCATGTTCTGTAACGGTTTACCCCTGATGAAAACAAACAAAAATAAATAAAGTGACTCTTTCTATAGGTTACATAGTTACGCCAGTAGGTGGCGAAAAGTTTAGCATCTTTGCGTTATGAAATAAATCATTCACCCAGTGTCTTTTGTTTGTTTGTGTTTAACGCCATTCAGTGTTGTTCCGATTAAACAAATCATCCAGTTCATTCAGACTCATTTAGTAAAGGGAACTCAAATGAGAACGATTCACTTACACCGATTTGTTTACAAGTTACCACAAATGAGTACAAACTATTACCAAAACAGCTGCAAAGCCAAGTTCATGTTCAGAGTTTCATGTCGCGCTTTTCATATGAAAAGACACAAATTCATAGTTATACCACATGACTTTCATAAAAAGCATTTATTTTGTAACTTTGTGTCTCCACTTTTGCGTAATATTCACTCAAAGCAATGTTTTATTAATTTGACACAGATATTACATTTCAAGACTCAAACACTTCTTTAATGTGAGGTTTGGCATACTGTCTTGCTGTATTGCTAGTATTGTCTTCAGTATCTGTGAGTCCCAATTGTAGCAGCATCCTAACGGCGTCCACATGCTGCCCAATGCATGCCATATGTAGAGCTGCAAACCATAAAAACATATTTTCACATCGTGTTCTAATAAAAAGATCCCAATTACGGCATCTCACTAAGGTGGCATTCAGTGAAAAACACTGTAAAGTGTAATCCTACCTGATCTTCCTTTTGTGTCTCTTGCATGTAGATCAGCGCCCAGGGCACACAGTGTTTTTATTGTGCTTGTGTGACCTTCCTGAAAAATTAGCATTGAGATCAAAGCCAGATTAAAAGAGGAAGTGTGTTTATCTTAACTGTGCTTCATGTTTAATGCAATAGATACAACCTTTGCAGCGTAATGTAATGCAGTCAGCTCCAGTTTTGTGGCTCTTGAGTTTATATCGATACCAAGATTATGCACGAGAAAAGAAAGTGCTTCTTCCTGAGCAGTTACAGAGGCCTGGTGTAGGGGCTGCACACCGAGAATATCTACAGCTGAGGGAGATGCCTAAACCAGATAAACATGGACATGCTCATATCTAGTATAAGAAAAACATTGTAAGTGAATTATAATGCAAATATGAGCTAACCTGGTGATTCTCAAGAAGCAGTTTAGCAATAGCTATGTGTCCATTCCTTATGGCATCCATAAATGGTGTGACTCCACAACTGTCCTTCCCATCAGGCTCATAGCTACAACTGAATTAACATGCAAACCGTGTGAGCAAAATAAGAAGGCCTTGTGTTATACACGCATACTCAAAATATGTTACCTTTGAAGCAAAATCTTCACTGCATCCTCACAGCCGTGCATAGCTTGGGTGAGAAAAAGGCAGATACATAAATGCAAGTCTGGGAAATTTGGGGGGAAAAAATCATTTGCTTCTATACCAGCAGTGTGGAGGGGCGTTCTGCCAGTCTTGCTCTTTGTCTTCCAGACCTCGGGTTTGGCCAGTAGGAGGTGGTGTATGATGGCTGGATCTCCTTCTCTGCATGCAATGTGGAATGAGTTCCATCCATCCTTGTTCTGCAGCATTGGGTCAGCACCGTGATTCAGCAGCTCCAAAATGACATCGAGGTTTCGACGGGTACAGGCCATCATAAGAGGGGTCCTAAAGAGGATAGAAGTAATTTTTGTTCAAATGCAGTAAAGCTGCTCGAGAACAAATGGCAGTGTTGGTATTACTAACTAAAAATAAAACAATTAAAACTCATTTTCGTTAACTGAAGTAAAGCTGAAATAAAATTAAAAAATGAATATAATTCATATTGCATTTCCATGTTGTTTAATATCAGGTTAATAACGCACTAAGAATCCTTTTGTGTTTTATTATTTTACTGTGATATTTTTGATAGCTCGCTTGTAATCAGGCTTTCATATTTTGACAGTGCCAACTACACAGCTTGCGTTCTGTGTCTAGGTAATAAATTTTCTCTAATTGTTAATGAAATCTGTTTTTAATTATTATTAAAAATCATACAATTGTTAGCATGCATAATTTATGAACGAAAATCAGAAATGCTGGCTTGGCAACTAAATGAAATAAGTTTGAAGAAGTACTAAAATACAAAAACTAAAGCTGAAATAAAAACAATTAATTAAAGCTAAATAGAAATATTTTAATACAAATAATTAAAATCACAAAAGTACAACAAAATTACTAAAACTACAATGAAAAATTTAAATATAAAAATAAAAGCTAATTCAAAATATTAATAAATATAATAAGTGTATATATAAAATACTAAAATAACACTGAGAGCTACATGAAAATGATCAATGCCCAAACATGTTCTGTATGGATTTATGTGCACACATTATAATTTTACAATTTATACTTCAACTACAATTTTCACTTGTTTAATTTGTACCAATAAAAACGTATTTTTCATTTATATTTATTTATTTATATACATTTAATTTTTTAAGTTAAAAATTGTATATTCCTTATGCATCTTAAATTGTATCTTTCATTTATATTTAATCCTTTTAAAATAATCTATTCACATTATTTGTGATTAATAACGGAGTATTGTATTTGCCGAATTCATGAAATACTGAACATTTTTCAAAATAAATGTGGGTTAGTAAAGATGTATTAAAAAGTGTTATTTTAGTGTTATTTATACTATTATGGTATTTATTAATATGTTGAATTAGATTTAATTGTAATATTTTGAGCTTTAATAATTTTGTGATTTTGTCATTTTTATCTAGGTTTCATTTATTTTTTATTTCAGTTTTAGTTTTAGTAATGCTATTACGAAAACGTTTTTCAGCATTAATTTAATATTTATTTTTTATTCTATATTTATTTCAAATAACGACATTTTTAAAATATTTAATAATAATAACAACGCTGGTATTAAATGACGTATAACTATAAATATATATACAAACAACGGCAGACAAACAGTATTTTGCACTCAGCTAAAAAAAAGTTTCCTTCGAGCCGGATTCGAACCAGCGACCTAAGGATGTCAGTGTTGAACCTCTACAGTCCTCCGCTCTACCAACTGAGCTATCGAAGGCGTTGAGTTACATTCTGCCTCCTGATACCATATTCCACCCACTACATGCAAATGCTTTTATTCAAATCAGTGATTATAACTTACCAGTCTGCTTTCTTCAAACTGTCTATTTTCGCTCCCCTGGCAATGAGGTACCGCACACACTCATAATGACTCATGGAAGAAGCCTCATGCAGAGCTCTCTTGTAGTCGTTGTTATACACCTCGATGTCCATGTTGAGCTCCTCTACTAAATAACGCAAAATGTCCATGTGTCCATGTCTGGCAGCATAGTGCAGTAAAGTATCTCCAGATTTCCCAAAATGAGTATAGATGACAGCCTGCTTGTTGACGTGCTCACTGAGTTGCTCTCTGACTGTGCACAGCTCTCCATGTTGAACTGCTTTGATTAAGGGCTTTAATGTGCTTTCTTCCTCCATTTAGCTCAGTTAAATCCTTCTAAGTAGACTGCTTAAAGGGAAAGATATATACACAACAGCGATGCATTACTAGTGAAATATCAACAGAAACCTCCAATGTTTTTACTGCATGGTCGGACGTAATGTGTCGACGACACCACCGTTTACTTCAAAATAAAAGTCCCACTAATAGTCACACTTTTGATCTTTGCAAAATATAATATTCTTATAAAACTATAAAACAAGAAAATGAAGCACAATGGCAAAGCAGTATGACATTACCTGTTCTTATGTTTCTTACTACCCACAAACTGCTGGTAGACAGACAGACAGACAGATAAATACAGAAGACAGACAGATAGATAGATAGATAGATAGATAGACGTGCACAGACATTTTGAGGGGCAGGGGCTCAAGTGGAAAAAAGGGCACTTCTCATATTTATTTAAAAAAAAATTCTAATAAAAACGTTAAATATATTAGGGGTGTGCGATATTGACAAAAATATATCTCAGTATTTTCTGGGATTTGATTGATAACGATAATTAGATGATATTTTGCTGAGTGTGTTATTGTGCTGATATCTTAAGGGCTGCCGTGGACAGCTGACTCGTAAAATGTTTGATATTCTTCATATTCTGTGTGGTGATCAGTTCACAGCAGTGATATCAAATTAATCTTTTCCAATAAGTTTAAATAGATTTTTACCTTTTAAATGAAATCAGTATTGACAAAATCCATCTTTGCAATTCAGAGAAAACACAGAAGCTGCATTAAGGGGCATTTAGATGCATTTACACACTGTTTAATGCAGGACATGAATAACCTGCAGTTACAAATGCATTCATACTCTTTTGATATTTTAAACATAAAACGTTGAATACTGATATTTGAAATTATAAAAGAAAAAAAATGAAAAGATACTTTAAATGTGAAATTAAAACTGCCAGTAGGTGGCAGCAAGTCACTGTTAATAAGTGAGTCATTGCGACTGAACCGAATCATTTAAACGGTTGATTCATTCAGGAACGAAACACCGTCATGTTGCTCAGAGATGCAAATTGGAATTATATTTGTTGGGGAAATAGAGCAAAAACAGTCAATATTGTGTCTAAAACGTAAGTATCTTAACATTAAATTCTTGTTTATTGAACTGCTGTATAAAATCAATATCACATTTGCAATCATGCTGCTTTTTGGTGGAAAAAACGTCAGTCTTGGCATGATACTGATTAACTACATGAAATTATATAAATATATACATTTCTGCCCCCATATCTTGAATTTTGTGATCCTTCTAAATGCATTTTAATAAACTGAATCATGCAGTGAACTGAATCATAGCTCTCATGACTTTTGTCTTTTGGGTAATTAGCTGTAAATTCGAGGCACAGGTAGTTTTTAGTTTTTTGTTCATCACCACTCGCCTCCACACCAAGACAAATACAACTGGAAAGGGAGGGAGGGCTTCACTTCTGCGGCTCTCTGCCTGATGCACGTGTGCCGATCAGGCCCGGTTCTTGACAGCTATAGAAGGGTGGGCTGGCAGATATGTGAAAATAATGAAAATAATTTTGCAAGTCTAGATATTTATACTGTTGATATTGCTATATTAACTATATTAACTATAGGCTGTTATATGTAGACTGGAAAAAAAGCTTTCATGGGCAGCCTAGAATATCATGCACTTTTGATGCATGTGCCGATCAACGTGCGCTACACTGCTGTGTGCCGCGCCTGCGCGGAGGGGCGTCGGAACTCGACAGCATAGACATAATATGTCTCAATATTTCCCGACCCGACATTTTGATTTTTTTGTTAGTTTGACAGGGAAAGCTGTGCGCAAACAGAAAACACACACACACGCGCGCGCACATATAGCTATACATATATTCATTTATACAAAATTTAAAAAAGACACTCCCCAGAAAAAAAAGCGCACTTTCTCTCGAGGAAGAAAAAGGGCAGGTGCTCAAGCCCCCTTTTATGTCTGTGTGCACGTGCCTGGATAGATAGATAGAATGGTGTAAAAGTGGCTTACAAATAAATTCACTTCAGGTAGAATTTTACATATATCATTTAATATTTAGCCTTGGGGCATTAGCCTTTTATTACAGCACAATTTGCATAATTTATCAATACCGTTTGTGTACAACCACAAAAACCATGACAGCTGGATTTTTTTTTCATCAGTTTACATTAAGTGGAAAACCAGACGGATTATACAAGCATATCTTTGTACAGTCAGCATACATATTTAGATCGGATTAATTTTTCATAATATTTTTCTCTTTGTAAATAGAATCTGGACACAAAAATAGTATGAACAAACCACCAACAAAACATGCAACATCCAGTGAAAACACCATACGTTTCCTGATTCTACTTGGAGTCAGTAAGGTCAACATCTGCTCTTTATTATACAGGGTTAAATCGGTGTCTGTTGTGCAGGTCAAGTCCAGTCCATCAGAGGCAAGCATGAGGAAAGCTTTTACCCTAGTGCATGTACAACATGTAACACACAGATCAAAACACAGTCGCTCTGCTCCTTTCCCTCACACATGCTCTTCGCTGAACCAGAAAACTAATACAAGATCCGATTTGTACAAAAAGAAAAATCTTATTTTTATTTACACGTCTTGGTTTTATTTTTTTATTATCATTTTTGCAGAGGTGAAAGAGTTAGTGTGGCGAAGTGAAATTGGAGCATGCGTGGATTATTCAGAGGAGGCTGCGTTGGTTACGATGAATTAATGTGACGAATTGTTATATGATGCTTTTTTCCCTCATCTAATTTGTAACACATTCTGGGAGATCAGAATATATAGTGAAAGCTGAGCATTGTATATAAAGCTGAGTGCAGTGAGATAGTTGTTTCCAGACACTGTGAACGATGAACATAAGATGACCAGTCTGCTATGATCCTGTAAACGCATTTTGTTATATACATTTGAATTCTCAAAACTAGCAGTTAAATAGTCGAGTAGGTAAATCAACCCTACGTTTTTGCAAACTCGTTGCATGACCTCAAAATAGCAATATAAAATTAATTAAACAAGCATCAAGCAAAAGACACAACCAAATATACACATAAAAGCAAACATATATATACCATGTGGGGAAAAAAAACACAAAAATAAAAAAAAAGTCCTCATTCGTAATGCTTTATCTGTCCTCCGACCACTAAACAATAAGTACATCAGATGTATTTTCGGTTGCATAGAATAACATACACAGAACCTGCGGATTTTGGTAGTTTGGCACAGGTTAAAGGTTGACTTAACCCTTACGCTGGATGTTTGAGTGAATATCAGTAAGTGCTTGAGCTGTAAAATGGCTGGGCTAAGTGTTGTAAAGTTTGAATCCACACATCCCAAATTTAAAGGCATAAAAACTAACATACATAACACTAATGGCATTTGATTTAGTTGTCTGCATTGCAAAGTGGCCACACTTTTCTGAAAGAATGAGATGGTGCACTCAGCGTCTAAACGTCTCCTTTTAGACAAATAAACTGAAAAGAAAATAACAGTTAGCCAAAATGATCTGTTAAATTAAAAATGAACACATTTTGAAGTCATCTCCCTGATCCTCACTGTTGTCGCCTTTAAGCTGAACCTGCTTAGATCAAAGATCAGCTAATAACTTTTAAGCAAGGCTTTTTCATCGAAACCTGAGTGTTTAGGAGTTTGTTTTTTAATAAAACATAATATCAACATTGTATCAGCAATATGATGCGGACAGACACTACACTGACCCATTCAAACTCTAATCCTTGAGTATTTAAGAGACAGATGCGTATGAGTTTGTGTGGGGGATTGACAGTGTTTGACTTTTTTTAAATGGCAGGATGTTTTTTGACGAAAAAGCTACCAACCTACATTCGTAAAATGCTAGACACAAAGTGCAAATCATATAACAGTGCTGGATTTGACATTTTCAACTGATGCTGCTGCATATCGGGGATATGTCGTCTGTCACATTCATCAAATGAGATAGCAAATCATAACAATCAGCGAACACTTTCTATTTAATTTCCCATTCATTTCTGTGAGTCATATTAGACCGGCAGTTTTCTTAAAGGTTTAAATTATTTGTAATTATCTGCTTCTTGATTCCTAGAGCTCTGAAACTGTATCTCAGACTTTGATGAATTTAGTATCACACAGCGAAAGATGAAATGTTATAATAACCGTACTGACACAAGGAGTCATCACAACACCCAATAAATCATATTTCATTCATTTAAATCTGTCTATAATATACCATAAAATACTCTTCTAATCCATTGATAATATGCTTTAAATATCAGTTCTTTCAACACATAATAACATCTGAGAGGGAATGTAAAATAACAATAAATATCTAAAACTGAATTTGTCTCTATCATACAAAAATAATGTATATGATATCCGTCTCTATCTGTAAACAATCACAAACGGGATAAATAAACTTTCACTCTATTATCTAACTGTCTGTTGTGGCCCAATGTACACATATTATTATACATACATCGGTATAAATATGTGTCGATAAGTGTGAGTGATTGTGAAAGTGCATGTACACATATACGTATGAACATTGTGTGACTCTCCGGCTCAATTTTTTGAGCTTTTCCCAACGTAAAGATCTGCATCTCGTCAATAAGGGTCAGACCCTTTCTGTAAACACCATTATACACCTGTTTCTCCATGGCTTGGGTTAACACAATCACACGTGCCAGTGCAATCGGGAAGCTCCCTGTGTCGGCCCTCCAAATTCAGCTCAGTTTAGTCCCAAAGAGTGCGGCAGAGATGTGCGACTCCGCTGCCTGTTCTGTCCTCGCGCCTCATCCGACCGCCGTCTTTAGGAGTGGATCTGAGCTGTGCTGGCCAGCAGCTTGTGCCAGCTCACCACCCGTTTCCGCAGGTCTACCTTATCCAGCCAGACGTAGGCTTCGCCGATTAGGGTCTTCTTTAAGAACTTGCCTCCGTTTGAAACAAGAAAGAGCTGCAAGGGTTGGAATAAATATGAATCACATGACTTTAAGTTGGGTCACATTTTAACACCCTAGTGCGTTGATTTCTGGTGTACCTGAATGGAATGACCTGTGGGGTTCATGCAGAAACGGAAAGTTTCGTTAAAAGACGGTTCGCGATCATGACGACACACTCTAGTTTTCTTCTTGATGATTCTTTTCTGAGTGGCCACATTCACCACATAGAGCTTCACATACAGGTCTGTAAAACAACACCAAAAGCAAGTATTAAGCGTTCCTCTCTTAAGTCCTGTTTAAACAGCATTTATGTAAGAACATTTGGGAAGCTTACATCAATAAGACAATGTGTATATCAACCATATATGTGACTCTGGACCACAAAACCAGTTGTAAGTCACACGCGTATATTTGTAGCAATAGCCAGCAATACCTTGTATGGGTCAAAATGATCGATTTTTCTTTTATGCCAAAAATCATTAAGATATTAAGTAAAGATCATGTTTAGTGAAGATATTTTGTAAATTTCCTACTGTAAATATATCAAAACATAATTTTTGATTAGTAATATGCAATGCTAAGGACTTCATTTGGACAACTTTAAAGGCGATTTTCTCAATATTTTGATTTTTTTGCACCCTCAGATTCCAGACTTTCAAATAGTTGTAATCTCGGCCAAATGTTGTCCTATCCTCAAACCAGACATCAATGGAAAGCTTATTTATTCAGTTTTCAGATGTTTCAATTGTTAAAAAATGGACCCTTCTGTGGTTTTGTGGTTCAGGGTGAACATGTTTGCAGTCATGTCTTGTTACCTGGGAGGTGGTCTGGAGACTTGAATTTGTATGTTATGTTTCTGCACTGTAGGATCTCAAGCACCAGGTGTTCCCCCTCTGTCTTCATCTCCTTCTTCAGGGCAATCTTTATCTCCCCTATCACCTGAGTCTTACCTAAACGGGCAGACACAGACACGTCAATATCGCAATTCTTCTTCCTGTCTGTTATCTCTGTATCTCTTCCTCCCACATTCTGTGAATCTCTGAGCATGAGGAGCATAGAGATAGTGATAAATAACATGGCACAGGAAATAGATGAATCCAGGAGGAACTATTATTCCACTCTTATTTAAGTCATAGATAAAAGTGTGATAATATATTCTATCGTTCAAAAGTTTGCAGGCAGTACGATTTTGTTTTTAGAAGCACTTGGGAGTTTTATTCAGCAAGGATGCATTAAATTGATCAAAACTGATTTCTATTCATCAAATAATCCTGAAAAGCATCACGGTTTTTGACACAAATATTAAGCAGCACAACTGTTTTCAACTTGAGCACCAAATCAGCACATTATAATGATTTCTGAAGGATTATATGACACTAAGATTGGAGTAATGATGCTTAAAATTCAGATTTGCCATCACAGCAATAAATTACACTTTAAAGTATATAAAATAGAAAACAGTTATTGTAAATTTAAATAATATTTCACAATATTTCTGTTTTTATTGTATGTTTGGTCAAATAAATGCCGAATAGGAGAGCATAAGAGGCTTCTTTGAAAAAATATATTAAGAAATTTTTACCAACTACAAACTTTTGAACTGTACTGTAGATAAAAGTATGATGTAATACAATTATACAAATTATACAAAATCATAATATATACAAAATACTGTATATTGAATTCAACTTCTTTGGTGCCACATTGTACTCCACAATACCATGCTATTGACACAAACACGCACAACTAATCACAAAACCACACAACATCCCATGCAAACATTACCCTCTGTATCTCCATGAGCGGATTTCACAGCTTCTGTGCCGTTTGGAATCTTTCCACTGAATAATAAACAACATCAGGTCAGAGAACGCGTGGAGTGCCAAGAAAATGGAGGGATTTGAATAAATAATAAACAAAAAAAGCAGTCTAGATGCTACCAAATAAAACCATGAAATTGTAAATTATTTAAAACAAAATATGACAGATTAGCAAATATCATGGGAGTCATATGGAAAGCACTCACAATCTGGGAACCTGGAAGATAGCACTATCCACCGCATTGGTCCCGCCCTCTTCATCCAATAGGCTATAGGCACTGCCACTCAGACCGCTGTCCAATGAGGCTGCAGTAACAGGAGCATCACCAGATCTATGGCTGCGGGACGCTGTTTTTGAAGTGGACTATGTGAGTTGCATGAGTTACATAGACTACTACTAGTTTGCAACTGGTAACTATTAATTTTAGGGGTAGATATCCACATATCCACTCCCAACACACACACACACACACACATACACGCAAATAGATACTGCTGGCAACATTTAAAGAAAGCATGACAGCACTCCATAAATGAAAGGAAATATCACAGACAGAGATATGCTAAGCAGACATCAGATGACAGAAGCAAAAGCACAGACACAACAAATTAAACTGTTCATTAGTAAACTGTGTGTTTGAGTTTTGTACATTAAGTTATTCCATTATGCTAATTATGTTAGCATTACGCTAAGTTTATTTTAATTGTGGTTACTTGTGATTAATAATATTTTCATAGATTTTTTTAATGTTGATGCAGTGTTTGACTGAGAGTGATGGCGATGGTGTGACGTGGGATGCATGATTTCGGCACTTAATTCATGCACACAGTCTTTTCCACACAGATTCAGCAACGGTAACGCTAACACCAGGCATCTAATGACTCTCTCAGGATGGTCAGGGGGTCACTGCTCCCTCCTAGAGTTTGTTGCAGTTGAGTGCTACTGTTTTGTCCCCTGGTTTTGGGGAAGCACGTTGCTGGACTGTTGAATAAGACTGAGACTCGCTGCATGAATTTCCTGTGAAGTGGAAGAGGGAGGATTCCAGTCGAAAGTGAGCATCACTAGGTCCTAATCACTCAAAAAACTGAGGCCTTCGAAGGTCGCAAGGCATGTATTTGCAGGACAAGCGTCACTGCTAATCTATTGTGAATCAGCAAAATTAAGGCCTGGTCATACCAACACAAATTTTCGACAGGAAAAATCAGCCTACATGCGGTTTGTATGTTCAGACCAATCTCAAAATGCAATTTCACTCTCTGTCAGTAGGTGGCGCTTACAGAAAAGCTTTTATGTTAAAGGGATAGTTCACCCAAAAATGAAAATTCTGTCATTAATTACTCACCCTAATGTCGTTCCAAACCTGTAAGACCTTCGTTCATCTTCTGAACACAAAGGAAGATATTTTTGATGAAATCCGAGCGCTTTCTGACCCTGCATAGACAGCAACGCAACTACCCCGTTCAAGTCCCAGAAAGGTAGTAAGGATAATGTTAAAATAGTCCATGTGACATCAGTGGTTCAACCATAATTTTATGAAGCTACGAGAATACTTTTTGTGCGCAAAGAAAACAAAAATAACTTTATTCAACAATTTCCTATCTTCCGTGTCAGTCGACGCGCATTAATGAGAGTACCACGATGCATGTGTGTGATGCTGCAGACGCAGGAGCCGGCGTTCTGACGTAGAACCCAGATGCGCTGTGCTTAGTTTCATTTTTGGTTGAACTATCTCTTTATTTTCTTATGTTTGTCGAAATATTTGATTACAATGATGGATTTTAATTGCCTTTAGGTGTTCATTGTTCAAAATGTTTCAATAAAAACACACAAAGGCAGTGCTGCACAATTTTACATTTTTGACACTCGCTTGTCATGAATAATAAACAAAATCAAACAGCATTTTTAAAACAGACGTTACAATTTTTTTATTTGGTATGATGTTCATTAAACAACAGCAAATACAATAATACAGAGAAAGATTCTTCCTCTGCTTTTCACTGTCACTCAACCAAATAGTCTTTTTGTGAGCGCCACCAAGTTGTTGTTTTATGTAACAGCAAAAGCATGTGTCTCCAGAGTCCAGACACATGACCAAAAGTGCAATTCTTATTGGTTAGCCAGTTTTCGTCACAGTGCAATGGAAAAGAGATTGGAACACTTATCCATTAAACAAATTAATTCAAATTGACGCCATGCAAATATTTGTGTTGGTCTGAACAGACGTAATAACTGCCGTTCAATCAAATTAAATTTAATTATTTTCGCACCAAACATTCTGTTGGTGTGAACAGGCCTTTTACATAAAATTCCTGCGAATGAATGCTAATACTAATGATAAAATCTTGTTTCTTTGTTTCTTTAATTCAAACATTTCAATTTGTGTGCTGTTAAACTTCTACTTATGTAAATATGTAAAAGAATATTTAGTCCCGGGAGGAACAAATCACTTCAGGTTTCAAAACGAATTGTGAAGATGCGGCACCCAGGATCAAGTGATCATAACTGCAGACTTACTTCCTTGACTGTCTTCTGTAACGGTTTTGTGTAAAGGAATCCAGTTGCTCACTTTCGTTTGGAAAGACCCTTCAGATAGCATCCCCTTCCCACAGTGCCCTTCGTGAGCACAAAACACCCTTTGCAAAACAGCTAGTCCTCAGCTAGTTCCTCTAGTTAGATGTGCGTTAGTAACTCAACATCCTTTCGCTCTCTCTCTTGCTGTCATCGGCAATCATACGAGACGTTCAACTCTCACCTCCGTCCGGCTGTGGCCTCTCTTCAGACATGGCTTTCCTGAGGGTCAGGTGACGGCCGTCAGGGATCTCATTGGCTGGCGACTCAGACGGGGCTCTCTGAATGGTGAGCACACCAACTACGCTGTGCCTGTGGTGCCTCGGGTCGAGGTGGCCAATTTGGGCTGGGGCCATATATCAGCCGTGGGGTGGGAGGCGAGAAGGAGGGGATGTTTGGAAAGGGGAGAAGTGGGGCGAGATGGAGACTCAGAGTATGAACTTGTCACAACATGGACACCACCAGCTTTTACTGTAGGTCATAGTCACATGCAGCCACAGTACGCTTACAGCGTCGACTGAGGTGCAGTTGTGTATCATTTAGCACACATTGGACTTGGTGTTTAATCTTTCAAAGTGTGTTTACAGCTTGTAGTTTCTCACCTCTCCCAAGAAGTCATTGGCAGAGCTCTTGTCGTAGTCCCACACGCTGACCTCTAGTGTCTTCTTTCTTAGCTAAACACACACACACACACCACACAAACACAGAGTATTCAACGCCAAGATGATTTACTTTGTGACTATTACCATACATTATTTTAATGTTGTCATTCTAAGTAACTTCAACTGAACTATTCCATGGTTAATCTCTAAATGAGGGGTAAGAAACATCTTATAGACAGTTTTTTTTATTACTCAGTATTTTTCTTGTTTTCCAATAAAACATATTTAAAAGTGACAGTAAAGACATTTATAATGTTGCAAAACATTTTATTTCAAATAAATGCTGTACTTTTAAACTTTCTATTTATCAAAGCAGTAATTTTTCATGATTTCCAAAAAAGTATTGAGCAGCACAATTGTTTTCAACCTTTATAATAAGAAATGTTTCCTTAGTACCAAATCAGCATATTAGAATGATTTCTGAGGGATCATGTCACATTGAAGACTGGAGTCATGTCTGCTGAAAATTCAGCTTTGCCATCACAGGAATAATTTACATTTTAAAATATGTGAATATAGAAAACTGTTAGGTGAAATTGTAATAATATTTCACAATTATGGTTTCAACTATTTTTAATCAGCCTTTGTGAGCTTTCTGAGATATTCTGAACCTCTTCTGAAGTAAATTTATTTTGTTTTTAGAACATTTAGATACTTTTACTGGAAAGCAAGACAAAAATACTGATTTCTGTTAATCCAGCAAACATCTCCAACACGATATGCAGCACTGGAGCATTAAATCCAGATGGTTTTCAATACAAGCCTCAGCTACCTGCATTCTGTCTTTCTCTCTCAATTAAGAGCCGTTCGCCTCGCTTCAATAGTCCAGTAAAAACATATCAATCACATCTGTCAGCAGCAGCCTCAGTGAGCTCAACAGACTCAGGAAGCTCTTTGGTCTTAATTAGACTAAAGCACTTCTGGGAGACAACAGACTTTTCCCTGTTTGCACCAAAAGCCTGAGATCCTCTCTGAAGAGCTTTCAGATAATTGAAATCTCAAAACTGACTCGAGACGTTCAAACTAAAAAAAGCATATTCCATCAAAGTGAAATCAGATTTTTCTTTTGGTTTTCTAGACACCTGCAACCTAGACATGTGCAAATGATTGCGAGCTTGTAGTTCACCTGTTCCAGATGGATATTTTTGTAGATGACAGTCTGGTTCCACTCTGGGTTCAAGCTCTTCTGAACATGTTTGGACCTTCTTTTGTTTTCAGCACTGCAATCAGATAACATACCACAAGAGGTCACCATGAGTTGCAGGTAGAAATTCAGTTGGGCACAAACTTAACCATGAAACCCCTCACAGTGGTGGCAAATGGTTTGCACAATGGAGGACGTCTAGTATAGGCCCACTTGTGTTGCTGCAGTGACCATATACTACATTGAGAAATGATGATATAAAGAGCAAAACACTACATCATTAAGCCATTCATGTCCAAGCATGGCCAAGTCTTGTATTATGTGCTGGTACTGTAGGAAAGAATTACATACCTGGCATTCTGCACAACCATGACCTGACTGTGAAGATCCAGCATGCAGCAAAAACAGACAACAATCAGTGATGAGTGGGAAACTGCAAAGGGAGGGGTGTGTGTGTGTGTGTTTGTGTTTGCAGTAGCCCATGCATTCATGCCCATATGGAGCAGAAAAATGGAGAGCTCCTATTTCTGTAGGTTCAATCCAAGTACTGCATGATCAGATGAGAGCCAGAAATGATCCAACACACATACACAAACATACACACCAACTTACAAACATCAATCAGCGCTATCATTTTTCACACAAACTGAACTGGCATTGATTTTCCTCTTTTGCTGACTCACTTACTGCACATATAAATGCATGGACAAACACACACACACACACACACACACACACACACACACACACACACACACACACATACACACACACAATCATATACAGCTAAAAACTAGGTCTTACACAATATGCATAATCCTCTCCAGGTCTTTCCCACAGACCTGGTGCTAATTACAGCTGGATAAGTGATTTTCTGTTTCGTTAACTCATGGAAAGTGGCAGCTAGGATTGAATAGCAGCTCTGGGAGTCTTAATTTCCAGTGCCAAGGGTGAAACAGGTGGATTTATATTTTTTAAGTCAAGAAACCAGATATTAAAATCTTTTTTTCACACTCTCTGGATAGCTATTTTGGCAGGGCACTTAAAAAGGAAGAGGCTGGACATGTAAAGTGACCAACCAGTTAGCTGTTCACACTAAGGCTGAAACCTTGAGACACAATTCAGTTCCAGTCAGTTGACTTTTACTCAAGGTACTTACCCTCTACCCGGCAGCAAGTAAACTTTAACGAACGGATCCGAGTAGCCGTTATTGTCCCGGGGTGCCAGATTTCGTGCTTGAAGAACATGGACAATGAGATTTCCCAGCTGTTTGTCGTAATTTATTTGAAGCTGCAAAATCGAAGAAAGAAAGAAATGGCTATTCTACTTTCTACTACTAAAAAGATGAATGAATATGGCATACATTCTGTTGATTAATAAGCAGGGTTCTGACCAATGAATTCACTTTATACAATAGAGAATGCACTCATAATAAGCATTTTCCACCTGAAGAAATATTTTAGAGCTGAGCATAACTAGAAGAGTTTTTCACGAGTTCACACTTACATATAATAAACAGAGTAAAGGTTATGTGTATTTGGCGTGCTGTCCGAGGGGAGGGCTCCGAGCTCGGAATTTGACCCGAACCCAGAGTACCCCCGCCCCAGCCAATCATTGGGTTGATTACTGATTGTGCTCCTCTCGTGTTAATTAGGTTAATTATCTGAACGTGCTCCTCCCAAACTTTGTTAATAAGACATCATATATCGACTACAGAAATGTCCATTTTTGCAGGTCTGTAAACCACAATTTTAAAATTCCCTGACAAGCTACTCTTATAGCCTTGTTAATGAGAGCCAAAACCTACCTGGATCTCTCCTGACACTGAATGGGACTGAGTTTTTGCAGCCTCAGAGGTCTAAGAAACAAAACAGCAGCAGTAAGAAAAGACAGTTATGCATTTGAATCTCTACACACAAAAAGGCATCAAATAATTGTATGCGCATGGCATATGCGTACCTTGCTGTGACGCTTCTTGCTGACAGAGGGTGAACCAGGCTGGCCAGGGCTGGGAACTGCACTGGAGCCAGCGGACGCTGAGGCTTTATCCAGTGTTGACGCAGAGGAGGACGGCATCTGCTGCTGGGACACTTTCTGCAGCTCGGCAGCCAGCTGCTTAGGGTCCACACCTGGTGACCGCGGAGGTCTGTCACCTGTATAATTATAAATGCAAGTCAGAAGTATGTGGTAAAGTGCCATTGAGGTTAATTAGGACATTATCATTTGATTGTCTTCTCCACTGACTGGGGGTTCTCACCTTTGGTCTGGTCTTGAAGGTCTAGGTGGGAGCTTTCAGAATCAGACAGCATATTTAGGTCACTGGAAATAAATGGTCAACACAAAAAGTTCATTTAAAGGGTTAGTTCACCCCAAAATTTAAATTCTGTCATTAATTACTCACCCTTGTGTCATTCCAAACCCGTTAGCCCTCTGTTCACTAAAAATTCTCCCCGAGTTACCATCTTCCGCCATTTTGGGGAGTACCAACGAGGCATGTGCGCACTTTCTCCTGAATGTAATCAGCGTTGGTTACGTTCATTGGAAAGCACACATATGCATCGTGGTACTCCACAAAATGACGCGGCGGAGAAGAATTGTTGAATAAAGTCTTTATTTTTGTTTTCTTTGCGCACAAAAAGTATTCTCGTAGCTTCGCAAAAAAGTTGAGCCACTGATGTCACATGGACAGTTTTACCAATGTCCTTACTACGTTTCTGGGTCTGGGAACATTTCAGTAGCTTTGCTGTCTATGCAGGGTCAGAAGGCTCTCAGATTTCATCTAAAATATCTTAATTTCTGTTCTGAAGATGAATGGAGGTCTTAGGGTGAGTGATTTATGACAAAATTTTCATTTTTGGGTGAACTATCCCTTTAAGCAAACATGAAATCAAAATGGACCCTATTTGCTCTCTTAAATGTATGTTCCTGGTTTTAATGTACTTTTTGTACAAAACGTACTTCCTCTCAAATGACTTTCCTTTTTGGTTGAAGTCACAAATCCTTTTTACTTTTTCAGCCCCTTTCCCTCTAACCCTTTTTTACATAAAAAAAATGTTATGTCAATTTTTCATGATTTATTCCGGCCCTACATTTCTTCTTATTAAATATCATGTTTCATTAAGAAATACAAAATACAGAATAAAAATGGGTTAGGAACTGTGTTTCATTTTAACTTGACATTTAAATGTGCACTAATCTTTCCAAACAAGTCCTAATAATTTCTTTAGTTGTACAACTTTTTTAGTAGACAGATAGAAGGTCAAAGTAAAAATGACCTAAAGCACATTTAAATAATAAGTAGGTATACAAATCTGACACTCACAGTCTGACACATATCTCCGCCTCTCCGACCTGGTGACCAACTAGACCCTGCACCTCCTCGTACGTCTTACCAGTCAGAGAAATGCTGTTCCATTCCAGAACTTGCATTCCTATCCAAACACACACACATAGAAAATCAGCCATTAGATACATTTTAGTCTTCACTATCTGGAAGATCAAACACGCTGTGAAAAGCACTGCAACACCACACGTGATGTCTTTCAATTAAACAAACCGTGCTGTAGAAACCCTGTGAGAAAGCAGAGGGAAACACGTGCAGCAGAGTTCACTCCAAGTCACAGCAAACTAAAACCACTCTGTTGGTGCACTTACACAGATGAAAACGTGTCTTCAGGTAGGCCAGGTAGGCCCGCTTTGGACGTTTCGAAGCTCCCCTGTTACGGTGGATGCTTGGGGTGCCTGGAGGTGAATGTGTACTCGTGTCATGTACTGTATATGTACACACTCACATATTTTATAGTTTAATGTGAGAGACTGAACAGCCAGCTCACATTACTCCACTGCTTAACACCAGCTTGATAATATACATGAGTCACATGGCTGTTGTAACCATGCCGACAGCATGCATAATCACACTTAAAGCAAGTAGAAACATTTGACATTTTACCCTTAAGAAGCTTCAACTGCTGCTGGGACACTATGTGGGAGAGAGACAATATGACACGAGAAGAGACGAGACAAGAAGAGACTGAATAAGATGAGATGAGAAAAGAGTAGATATGAGAGAGAAGAGAAGGTCCAAGATGAGAAAAAGTGAAATGGGATGAGATGAGGCAAAGTGAAATGAGACAGTAGACACATAAAGAAACAAGATCAGAAGATAAGAGACAAGAAAAGATGAGAGAAGAGAAAAGACAGGAGGAGGTGAGAGATGTTGATACTTGGCAAGATGATATGAGACAAAAGTAGATATGAGAAGAGAAAAGATCAAAAGAGAAGGGATGAACAAGATGAGATGAGAAAAAGTGAGACAAGACAAGAAAAGGGTAAAGAAGGGACCAGATAAGATTCAATGAAACAAGAAGAAACAAGATTACAAGAGAAGAGTCGAGACAAGATGAGAAGAGATGAGACAAGATGAGAAAAGACAGGAAAATGAGAAGCAAACTGACAAGAAGAGTAGGCAAGAGAACAAGATGAGAAGAGTTGAGAGAGTAGACATGAGAAAAGATGTAAAGAGTAGGCAAAAGATGATGTGAAGAGAAAAGATGAGACTATATGAGATGAATTGAGACAAGATGAAAATAGAAGAGACAGTAAGTGATAAGATGAGGCGAGACAAAATAAACAAGATAAATGAGACAAGAATAAAGAAGAGAAGAGACAAGATGATACTAGAAGAGACAACATGAGATTCGAAGAGACGAGACGGGAGAGTATACATGAGAACAGAAAAGAACAGAACAGAAAACGAGGAGTAGAGGAGAGGACACAGCTAAGGAATCAGATGTCTAAATAAAAAGTGATATTTGATAGAGAGTGTGAGAGGAGGAGGAGGAAGACAGATGTGAAGTGTCAGTCCCAGTCAAAGCTCAGAATCTTCTCTCACAAAGCCCAGCTGTTGTATATAGCCTCATAAATAAGCCTGCACACAGACAGATTGACTCCCTCCGGCTTCTCTTTCCCCCTCGTCACCCATCCCGGCCCCTCGTAAATTATGACCGGGAGAAAGCAGCACAAAAGCTGGAGCCCAAGCAGACCTAATTTACAACACTCCATGCTCAACCTCAGCCCTGGAGAAAGAGAGAGCATTAACTTCTCCGTCACAACTGAGATCAATAGAGCTTGTAAAATTCAGCTTCATCAAAATGGCTGAAATAGTCCATCAAGACAGTCCAAATTTCACTCTGGGTTTTATTCCAAAAGTCTGTTAAGATTCTTCCAAGTCAACGGGAAGCTCTAGCCGTCAGCCATCATTGGGCGAATCTGTCACAATGAGGTCAATTCTGATTTTGTAAAGTGCACATTTACATAACGGCATTGTAAAAAAAACAGTGTCAAAGCAGTAAAACCTCAAACTCTTTTCAGCTGAACTCTTCAGAGGCATTTCAGTCAAAGTTTTGATATAAATTTAACACTCAACGCTCATTTGATCTGCGCAACACCTACGCCGCTAATGTACACCGCAGAGGAAACACAGTCATGAACCTGAAACTTCAACTTCATTTTCTGCTGCTCTATCTTTATCTCTCACGTCAAGAGTGAGTCACTCCTGGAGCCTGGAGGTGAAGAATCACGCGGATTAGCATCATTTGTTTTTCCTGTTTCCTACTTTGAAATATGACGTCACATTGTGGCCACCCCCAGAGTAACCACCCTTCACTGAGGTGCCTACCTTCCACAATCTTCCTCGTCTGTTCCGCAGCTCCTCCAGGTAATACTTTGGCAACATACGCACCAATGTGCCCATTGCTGCCCGGGACCTCTTTTCCTCCAACCACACGAATGCCCAGTCCGTTTCCTGTGAGAAAATAGTATTGCATACATATAAAGATGGTCCAAAACCTGCACCAGATGGTAACAAGCCTAGAAGACTCTTTTTGATCTTTATTTTATTTTTTGGATCAGTGAATTTTCATTTGTTTTAATAAGATTTTGAGTCAAAAAGTCCAATTACTCAAACTAGAAGTGGTTTTGCATATTGTTTTCCATATTTGAAAACCATTTTGTATTACACTATACAAAAATAAAGGTTTAAAAGGGTGTTTTCTCAGTGATGTCACAGAAGAACAATAGTGGGTTCCCCAAAGAACTTTTCAGTGAACAGTTTTTCTTAGTATGAAGAACATTTTTGTGCAATGGAAAGGTTCCATGGATGTTAAACGATCTTCATGAAACCATTGATACCAATACAGAACCTTGTGAACCCAATTAAACTAAAATGCCAATACCATCACATTTTACACAGCTGTTGGGTAAAAAAAAGTCTATAAAACCACAATTCAGACAACACAGATACATTCAGACAAGAGTCAACTGAAGCTAGAGTTTAAGAGAAAGGTTTAATTGTGCTGCCAGACCTAATGTATATTTCTATAAATGTCAGGAAGCAAATTGCCAAATCTATATTAGGCTTTTTAGTGGGGCACAAGTGTGTTCAATAAACTGTATATTATCCCTGGGCAATAACGAGGAAATGCTCAAGCTTTTTTGTACACCTTGTCAAGATGTTTAGGTGTCTATACAGAAACTGTTCTATGACATTCTGTCATTCAGAATCATAGGTGCAACAAATCCACCAGTCACAGCACAGGGCATTCACTATAGCCTTATTCATTGCCTTTTTAAGGCACTTGTTTGTTCATCAGTTTCTAATTACGAGGATAATCCAATTTGTGCATTACACACCATTTTGAGCTTTGATGACTGATGAAACTGGAGGGATACCAATCTGCCACATTGCTGCGTGATGTCTGCCCCGTTCTAATGCTTTAAGGAACATTGACACAGGAGATCAAGGGGAATCAACCACACCTACAGTAGGTGACATACCAAAGCATGAGGAGGGGATAGACCGCTGATGCGCTTTTGCTCAGCGGTTTCGTGTCTGTTGACATTTGGTGTGCAATGATGTGACAAAATGGAGTGCCACAAGAGGACGCTAAAGGGAAATTGGAGAAGAGCTAATGTGTTGTTTAGTAGTAGGCATAAAGTAAAACTGTGCCAATGCAATCTCAGCATGGTGAAACTAATGTTTGCATAGACATAAGCCTTGGGCATCTCTCCATGATGGCCTGGTAGGCAAACAGATCCTCTTTTATCAGGGACAGCTGTCCTAAACGTCTGTCTACATTGTTGGAGCATGTCAGGAAGCCAAACCACACAGCATTGAGTATTTGACAGGTTGCACTTACCTGATACACTATGATCTTTGGGATCCCGCTGTAGTTTTATTCTGGCATGAGGAAACGGGTAGTGTGCTGACTTTCCCTAAAGAGACATCAAATAAGCAGAATCAGACACTGTAACATGCAATAATATGTTTTGTCTGATGACCAGGTCTCTATAAAGGTCTCAGTTTTTTAGGTTTCTTGCAGTGTATATTTACTGTTTCTCGCTAATCGGACTGAAATGGTAATGCAAAAACCATATGTATCACCTGTCTTCTATCCCCTTGTCCGTTCTCTGTGCACCCATCTCGTGGTTTATCAAACCAGTCAGTTTCCTCCCGTCGCAGGTGGTACGCTTCAGAAAAACAGATGGAAATTAAAACGTTAAAGTCTTGCTTGCCGGTCTGTTAAAACAAAACCCCTAAAGGCTCTCTGGTAACATCGGGTACTAGAGACAGCTAAGGTACATATGCAGTCTCAAATTCAAACAATATAGAGCCATCTGGGACAGAAAAGGAAATGGTTATATAAAGTAGAGCAGTTATTTTTGCATGCAAACCTAAAACTAAAACAAACCCTGAGGATACAAGTCTTCAGATTGTATTTTTTTTTTTCTATATTTAATTCTCCATTGGAATTCTTTAGAAGATTTAGAGCAAGTCTGTTTACTACTGTACCTTCCCATAAAAATCTGAGGTTTTCATAAATAAGACAGGGGTTAATGACAGACAGAGGTAGGAAATATTTTGGCATACTATCTTGTATTAGTGTTGGCATGGGTCTTTCAGCTACAATGTGGAAAGGGTGGGTGGGGATGGGGGGTTATAGGTTTTTACATTCAAAGGCAATTTTAGATGTCAAGATTTTGACATGGACATGTAAATAATTGACCTCAGGTCATCAACATTTAACAGAAGACAATTTTAGTGTTTACAGACCTGACATTTCGATGTAAAATGATATGACAGATGTAGATCCTATTACATGGTGAAACACTCACTAACATGGAGCACTATTATTGTGTATAGATTTATAAGTGTGACTACTTTGATCAGGAAGTCATTACTTTCAATAGATTTGATTTGAAAAATTATTACTAGTATTATATGAATGATTTTTTTGTAAACCAAATTTGTGAAATTGCAGCAGCTTAAACTGAGAAAATGAGCGTTATTTTTAGAGAGAAAGGAGTGTGAAATTCCAATTTAATCACAGATGCAAAAGCTGCATTCACTAACACAGCATTACATTAGTGTGCAAATTCGTCATACTTCCTGCAACATGTTGTTATGGAGATGAATTTGCAGTTGATTTGGTTGCCTAACAGCTCATGGGTGATTGGCAGGTGGGTGGTCATGGTAGCAGGGGTGTGGGGGAGACGGGAGACGTGCAGGAGCCTATGGTGGTTATACTCTACCGTTTGTGACATTCTCATGTGAGTTTCCTGGATCGTCTCTGCTCAAACCCACCAGGGATTCACTTAGTGCTGCAACCAAGGCAAATGCATTTACTTCCAGATGGCACATATGATGAACAACACATCATATGCTGTTAAATGTATGGGGTCAGTTACGTTACAGATAAATGAAAAAAAGAACGTTCAAATTGGTGAGTATTTTGGGTTTGAGCTTCTCGTTCTGTGGTTGTGTGATTCTTTTAACTCTATATTGTGTAACAATTACAATATTCATGTTTTTATATTGTTCAGTGAAGTTTCATGCATTTCACAGATCATGGGGGGAAGAGACATGCAATCCAATGCAATTATGGTTTCATCAATCTTAAAATTATACTTTAAATGGTTTCATAAATCAAAAGACAAACATTAATACACAGCTGAGAAAAAGCATAGCCCTTTCTATTTGAAGGCATTTTTAGTTCCCAAGTGAAAAAGAAAGCAGATGAACATGCAAGAAAGTGAAAGAGTTTATTCAAAAAAAGACAGGAAGAGACATGCACATCACTTTTACTATTTATTAAAGGAACATCAAACATGCAAACACAAACTGGCATGGTATTATTTACTCTGGTTCATGCTAGCAACATGCATGAAGAGTATTATCTATCACTGAGAGAGAGAAGTTTGTATGGATTATGACATTTTGTGTATACTGTATGCTATAACATTTTCTGAATGAAAGTTAACTGAAACATCTTTTAATAAATTTAAAAACAAATGCTTGACTTTTATACAGAACAAAATAACTAAATGAAGAGATAATCTGTGTAGTTATACTATGACTTTTTTGCTATAAGGCACTTAATAGATAACTACATAACCAAAATATAACTAAACAGATGATTAATCAAGAACGTGTAGCTCTAGTTTACAAGCAGCTTAAAGGGGTCATATGATGCGATTTAAATTTTTCCTTTCTCTTTGGAGTGTTACAAGGTCTTGGTGCATAAAGAAGATCTGTAAAGTTGCAAAGACTAAAGTCTCAAATCCAAAGAGATATTCTTTATAAAAGTTCAGAGTCAGCCACTTCTTTTTAGCAGCATCATATGACCCCTTTAACTAAAAATGTTGAGGGTTATAAAGCTATTCTTATGCTAATGAAAAGAGATTTATAATATGTCTCATCAGTATAAGTGTAACTTTTTTCTCATTTATCCTATTCAGAGAGCACATATCCACATTAAATAAAATACAAAGACTGGAAGCATGCACTATAAGAATTCACACAGAAACAAAAAGTCAGTCTATGAAGAAATCACATGCAAAAATGTTTAACTCCAACTGTAACTATGCCACAGAAATTAATACAGTTAATATAGACAGACAACTGGGACAGTGTGATTCTTTCATTATTTAAGCACAGGAAAAGAAAGCTCAAACAAGACAGAAAAGCAGTTATCAGCAGAGAAATTATGCCTTCATATAGACAGGAATGAGCACTTACAAGATGAGACAGATAAATAAAAATCTGGAACTGTGTATCTGTCACTCCAAGAGGACAGTCTGTGGACAAACAAATTACCTTCACTATCAGACATGGTGCCCTGCAGATCATCCATTAGCACATAGCCACGCCCTCTTGAAGGATCTTCTCTGAGATGTTGCTGTTGAGGGTCTTGGAGGGACAAACATGACCCAAACTGATCACGCGAGTCAGCAGATATGGGCGGAAGCGGACCCGCTGATGCCCGTGCCATACCCATTGGCTGACCCACTGGACTCAGTGGGCTCTCTTCCTCTGAGTTCTGTGCCACAATAGGAATACGTCCACGCCCACCTTGTACAATGGGCAGGCTTGTAGGTTTTGACCTGCCTGATGGAGCCTGGAAAGCTGAGGTGTCTGAGGAGGGGTCACCTTCTGCTTTGAGCCTCAGAGATGAACTTGAGGTATCCCTTTTAAGGGACAGGTCAAGGCCATACACAGAGGAGGGTCTAGAGGAAGGCCGTGACCTACTTCCACTAGGGTAAGCAGAGTCTTCTCCCAAAGTGGACCTCATGCCTGGGCTCAGATTTAGGCTTTGGCCCAGATTGAGTGAACCTGCCAAGTTGGCCCCAAGAGTGGAGCCCAGGTATTTCTGCTGTTCAGCAATGTTCTTGCGTAGCCCAAAGGTGATTTCATCCTGCAGAAGTCTGCTTGATCTGGGAGAAGCACTACTGGACCCCAAGTAACTACTATAGTCTGTTTCTAGAGCCCTGCTATCCTGGATGGAGGAGTACTTGCCTATGTTGCTGGTGTTTTTGTGTTTCTGGTAGAGCATAGATGTAGGAAGTTGCTTGGCAGCCTGTTTCTCTAAGGTCAATCTACTGATGCTGTACTTTTCGGTTTTGGGGAACGCCCTGTAGCCTCCACTAGACACTCCAGTGCTAGTGGTATAGTGATGTGAGAGTCCAGCAAGCTGCTCTAAGCTTTCAGTGCCCCCTGTGCTTCTCTGGAATTCCTGTTTCAGTTGTTGTTTTAAAAGCTTTAGTTCAAATGGCTCTTCCATTGGGTCCTCTTCATCTTGAGCCTTACCATAAGAGTGAAGTCTGGAGGAGCTTCCCAGGTAGTCTGTACCAACATCTGCAGCAGTGTGTCTCAGAAGGTGCTCTGCTTTGGCTAGCTCCCTCTCAGCAATGCCATAGCTGTCAGATGAAAGGCTAACAGTGCTTTTTGCAAGTTCTGTTGCATCTTCTAAAAGCATATAGCTCCTTGGTGTCTGATGTTGCTCTAAGTCTGCATAGAAGGAGTCAGCAGATACATTTGACATAGGACTGACTGCCAAGCTGCCAGCATGCTCTTCTAGGCTATGCAAGTCAAGGTGGTTACCATATTTTCCTCCTAAGTAAGATGACGTGTCATAGTTGGTGGAAATTTTGGTAGAATCTAATTCAGAGAGGAGAGCAGCTTGTTGTCTGGCTTTCTGCTGGAGCAAAAGCATTTGGTGGTAGCTCTGTTGTTGTGAGGCAGTCAGAGAAGGAACAGAAGAGTAGATGGACTGGGATTGGTATGGTGACTGAGGCTGGTACAGGGACTGCTGATACTGTGGGTACTGGTACTGGGAATATTTTCCATACTGGTCGTGCTTGGTCTGTGGAGGAACAAATTCATCAAGTTCTGACTGTGGTGCAGTACGTGGTCTCTCAAGCCCATGTCCACTAACCTCCTCTCCAACTCTTGTTTCGCGAATGTTACTCACCTCACTGTCAGACATGTAGTCACGGTCCTCTGCAACACTTTGCAGATAGGCCCTTTCCCTCTTCTCCCTTTCTTTAAGCAATGCCTCCTTTCTTCGGTTAATGCCCATCTCCAGGTATCGCAACTTGGCATCAATCTCCTTTTCTTCCTCATCCAGTTCAGCTTGCTTTTTACGCAGTTTGGAGGACTCTCTCTCAACCAGGTCTAGTTCACGGTCAATGTCCTGCAGGATTTTTGCTCGTGCCATGTTAGTGCTCCGGCAGAGACGGCGACGAGCTGAGCCAGTGCTGTAGGCTGTTTGACCAGCATTAACAGCTTCTTCCTCTGAAGGTGGGTTAGGAAGGGTCCTCTTAACCTTCTTTTGGGTGCCAGATGGAGTTCCACTTGGAGATCCCTTTCCCTTTGGATGACAAATAAAAAGAGAATTATCAGTGTTAAATGACAATACAGTTTTTAAGTAAAAACTTATTTTCAACTTAATCATATTTCATAGGAATGACCATAGTGTATTTAAGGCTTTAAAGTTGGTTTCATAAAAAAGAAACTTTAAAAACAAGCAACCACCACCTAAGTTTTCAAGTTTGAATGAGAATAAAGTATAATGGTAAAAAGAAAAAAGGTCTCTAGAGGATTTTGTTTTCTCATGTCAGACATGCCTTGAGGATGGGTAAACAAACACATACTCTATATCTGCTGTTCTGCTGCATTGCCTTTAAAGGCGCAAGCACTGAAAATATTATTATAATTAAACAATTATGTAATATTATAATTACACAATTATGTAAAAAGCAAGTAAATAAGACATGAAATTTCAGCATATTTTCCACTTATAACACTTATAAAAAAAAAATACTGTATACTCACAGAGTAACCCTCAGAATACTGGAAATTTGCTGCTGCCCTTTCTTCAGCAGTTGGGCTCATGGGTTTAGGGTCAGACATTGACCTTTGTATGACCTTGGGAGCCCTAGGACTTGTTGGTGGACCTTTGGATAGATCTGTGGCAGAGTGCATTCTCTGTGGGCTTGTGTCTCCAAGGGATTTCTCATAGGACAAATACTCAAGGGATTTGCTAGGGGATACACAAGGGGAAATTGGGGAGTACAGTACTTTTGGGGATTTGGGAGGACCTGGGACAACCTGAAGAGTAGAGGCATCTGCTTTGAGGTGAGGAGACTGACCTATATCAAGTGGAGTGGGACGCCTCTTTGGAGAAGAAGTTCTATCAGAGTCAGGATAATCTAATCTAGTATCTACCTGCACAGAGTGCCCCCTAAGTGTTCCTGAAGGGTCTGTTTGTACAGAGATTTCAGTAAGGGCCTGAACTGAAACAGCTCCTCTTTCACCCATGCCATTTTTACCACCACGTGTTCTACTGCGCCTGCTTCGAGCAGGAACTTCCCATTCATCTTGGTCTTCATCATCTGTCTGTACACAGCTATCAACACTTTTTTTTGTACTTTTCTTTTTCCTTCCTGCAGTGTAGGCCTTTTCAGTATTATCCTCCTCATCAGTCTGGCAGCCACTGTCCATTTTTCTTTCTCCTGCCACAACAAGAGCCTCTGGCAGGACTTCACCTGGATACATCTGCCTGAATTTCTGTTCTTCCAACTGATGTCTGAGCTGTTCTTGGAGTCTCTGGATCTGCTCTAACTGCTCCTGTTGCTGAGCATAAGTTTCCTTTTGCATCAAAAGGTGGGCCTGTCTATCCTCTTCTTGCTGACATAGTATTTGCTGTTTCATGGCCTGGAGTTCTTCCAGCTCCTTCTGCACAAGAAGCTGTTCTTGATCACGGAACCGCTGTATCTCCTGTCTCTCCCACTCAAGTTCTTCAGCCAAGCGTTGCTGCTTCATCTTTTCTAGCTCAAGAAGCTCACGCTTTATCTGGTACTGTCCATCTCCTGGAACCAAGGGTGAAGACAGAGCTTCTAAAGAGGCTGCAATTGCCTCCAGTGAAGCATTTGTGTAGGTGTCCAGTGCTGCCACCGTGGTGACTGTTGAAATTACATCTGAGAGAGTCGTTGAAAGGCCAGCCTTTGAAACAACAGTCTCCAGATTTAATGGTAAGTCACTTTGTTCTTCTGCTGTGGTTACAGCAATTGTTGAAAGAAAGCTGTGCGACCTAGTGAGCGGCTGATTCTGTAGAGTTGACAGTGATGGCATAGTATCACTTGTGTGCATGCCTGACAGAGTATTGTAGGATGTGCTGAAGATAGAGCCAGGCTGGGTGGTTATGGCATATGTAGAAGGGACTGTAGCTGCTACAGAAGAATAAACAATACCATTGGAAGATCTTAGGACACTAGAAGCACCATAGTGGGTTCCAACTGCTGAAGTAATCCTGGCTTGTGTGTACTGTGGAACTGTCATTCCAGTGCACACTCCTGTAGACTTGTTCGAATAGTCTACAGCTTCACCTGTTAAAAGTTCATTTTGTTAGATTAGAGTTCAGCACATACAAAGAGTGCAGTGGTAACAGCATTGATATAACCATGCACTATCCAAAGGATGAGAAATAAAGCATCAAAAAGTATACCGATTAGCATGCAGTGACATGCCAAAAAAAAAAAATAATAATATTAATATTTTAAAAAATAAATATATTGAGAGCATGCAAAATGACTTCCCAAAAAAGGAATACAGGCAGGCATACAAAAAATCAGCTGGGAATAAGTAGAGGTAACTCAAAATGATATCGAGAAGAAAGATCTTCAATGTCATACTGACCTGTCACCGACATTTTTCCAGATGTCAGGTCTACAGCACCTTCAGTGATCTCCTTGTAATCATAACTATGCTTACTTTTATATAAGAAGAGACCAGCCTCTGCCAAGTTTGTGTCCGACATTGAGGGTTTAATGCCACCAAGACCTCTCATACCATGAGGAGTACGATCGTATTGATAATGGTCATCTCTGTAGCCAAAGCGATCCTCTGGTAATGGAGCTGAGGCCTGCTGAGTTGTACAGCTGCTTGCAAAAGGAAGCTTGTAGACTACATCACAGCAGACTGCTCTTCTTCCAGCAGTAAGATCTACTGGTTTTCCATCATCCTCTGTAATTACAGCAGTAACCACCTCTGCAGTGGACCCATTCATTGCAACCACAGTTTGTGCAGGTTTTACTGTGGTGAGATCAACTGCACCGGATAAGCCTGTTTCTAGACGAGGGGGCATAGTTGCACAAATGCCATTGCTTGCAATTGTAGGAGCCATTGTTACAGGAACAGTTTTACCCGTTGTTGTAGAGAGATTTATGGGTTTCTCTGGTTGAGAATCCACAGGTCTGTAAATAATTTGAGACACAGGCTCAAAGGATTTAGCTGTTGTAAGTTGGAGAGGCATTGATGTTGACAGAGATACATCACTACCATAAGCTACAGTGGCTGTGCACGTGAGGATGGTGATGTTGTCAGTAACCACAGAGACTGAGGACGTATCAGTGCTTAGGTTTACTACAGATGACTGCACAGCACTTTGCTGACGTCCACCACTATCAATAGCAAGGGACTGTCGTCTTGACTCAGAGGAAGACAGATCCACACCTTTCATGGATGTCTCTGCATCTATCTTTGGGGTACGGAGATCCACGACCTCACCAGGATGGTAGGCATGACCATTCTGCACTTGAGCTGGTTCAGGTTTTATGTTTTCTTGAACTACGGAGATGCCAGAGGCTCTTGGAATGGGATGTGGAGGTGGTGTTCTTTCATGCAAAACAGACACTGTGGTTCTTTGGACTTCAGTGGTAACTACCTGAATGCCAACATTTGGAATAATTGACTGAGGCTGCGTTGAGGCTGAAATAGCCTTGTAGACATGACTCATGCTAGAAACTACCTTCTCTGGACCACATATTTCTTGACTTTCAATAGATTCAGTAATTCGTGTGAATGCCAATGGTACTCTAGTTGTTTGTGATTGTGGAGGTGGTTGAGGTGGTGAATGAGGTGGCTTCTGAAGTGATTCTTGGCTAGGACCTATTGAGGCTTGGGTTGTGATACCTTCTGTAGGTGAACCAGGCTGAGATGGCAAAGTAATAACAACATATGTGTCACGTAAAACCTTGCCAAACCTGGGTGATGTAGGGGACTTGAGAGGAGATGTGGTCTTATTTTCGGCAGAAGGACTCAGATTAAGGACACTATCTGCACTGCTTGTACTCAGTATGGTAGGTCTTGTAGGTGTGTGGGCTGTAAAGGGTGGCTGAGCACGAGCTATGGGTTTGGGAGCTATGCGAGGTTTAACAGTCTCCCCAGGTTTGTGACTGAAGGTTAGGCCTGCAGGGATAGAGGATGGCTTAGGTGGTACAGGTGGAGGAACATGGGGCTTATAGCCTGGAGTAAGAGGCTGTCTTACTGGTACACTGTCCCCTGTGGTTGGCATGCCAACTGGAGTAGTTCTTGGGGGGACCTGTGGTGGAGTCTTTTTGGGATACACAGAGGGTTTGGGTAGTGTTGGAGGGGGTAAGGGTGGAGGAACTGGAATGTCTGCTTTTTCCAGAGATGCAGCTCTGCGTAGTACTACTGGTTTGGGAGGAACTGGTGGAGCAGTTGATACAACACTAGGTACAGTGGGTACTATATATTGCGGTACTGTGGGCAAAGGTGATACACTTACAACTACTGGGGCCGACGGTCTTGAAATTACACTAGGAACAGGTGCTGTAAAAGAGTCAATTTGACTAGGGGCTGATGACTTGGACAAGTCAACAACAACTGTCTGCTCAATTCCTACATCATTTTCTGTGGCATCCTGTGAATCACTTGATACTGCAGGCAATGCTACTTCTCTTTGTAGTGACAAATCCTCGACGACTGGCTCTGAGACTGATGCTTTCTGGAAAGCCTCATCCACAAGTGGTTCTGGTTCAGTCTTTGTAACTGAAACTGTAGCTTTCTCAGAGTCCTGTGTTTGATCAGAAATACTCTCTTCACCAGATTCCTCTTCACCTGAGGAGCACTGTGTCACTCTTAGATCAGGAATAGGCAGTATTCTTCGTAGGGGTGCTGGCTCGGTTTTTTCACCTTGGGTTATTGTTGTAACTTGTGCCATGCCACTCAGATCAGGGCCTGCTTGAGTTGGACTGGTGCCTGGAGTTAGTACCGCTCTTTGCTTCTTCATAAGCTCCTCATAGGCTGCTTCTGCATCTAATAATGGCTTCCTATCCTTTCCGGACTGACCTGTGGTGCTTGATGACATAATGCTTTGTTCTTTGCTTGAGTCAGTTTCGGGCAACACAGTTTTTGCTTTAGGAGCATCTTCTACTGGCTTACTGTGTTTTATCTCCTGTTCCTTAAGCATCATCTCTTCCTTTCTTTGCATCATGTCCTCATAAACCTCATCAGGTGATCTCAGGGTTTTTTTGGGTTTCTCTGACACAAAAAGTTTATCTGGTTCCTGCTCATAGGACGCATCATCAACAAGAGACTCGTATGCATAATTTTCTATCAGTATGCTCCCATAAAGAGATTCTTTACCAGGTGGATGTTCCTTTCCATCGTTAGTTGGAGATTTGACCTTGAGCATAATCTCTTCATATGCCTCATCCGCACTTCTTAATGCATGTTTTCTCTTTTCTTTGGACTGACTATCAGTGTGTTGCTCATCTGTTGGAGAGTACAGTGAGACTGATGTTGGTAACTGATACACTTTTTGGACAGCAACAATCTTCTCTGGGAGAATCTCAAAGCTCTCTGGTTCTGACTCCATGCTTGGGGAGAGGTCTGAGCAGGAAGACCTGCGGAATTCCTCCATCTCTGCTTCTTGTCGTAGCTCTTCTGTGGGAGATGCATCCTCAATTGGTGAGAGGTTGCTTGGCGGAGTTTTGGGTCTTTCTCTCCTTCTCTGTGCCCGTATCTCTTCTTTGTCTTTCTTTGACTTTTTTCCTGTGCCCTTCTGCTTCTCCTGTTCTCTCAGAAGCTCTTCTTCTTCTCGCAGCTCCTCTTCCTCTGATGAATCCTCAATGGTAGGAAGCTGGCCTGACCGGTGCTTTGCTTTCCTCTGCTGCTTGCCCTCACCACTAGACCGAACATGACTTGGGCTGCTGCTGTCACTGTCTTCATCAAGAGAAGACAAAGATGTTGGAGATGTTCCTGGGGTAAAACTGGATGCATGTAAACTGGAAGAGCCTTCACCTCTTGACCTGTCATCAGGAGAGTCTGTAAGGCTCTCTAGCTCACCGTCATCTGATATCTGACGTACAGTCGCTGTACTGTTAAGTTCAATTGTTTTAAAATGTCGTATACCAGCTCCACTGTCTACTGAAGGTTGTTCTCCTTTAGCTAGTTCTTCAATTTTAGTTATAGAGATAATACTCTTCTGTTCAGGCTCATCTTCTGGACTGATACTGCTATTTTTGAGAAGGCGTCTCCCTTTGCACAATTCACGTTTGTCCTTTTCATCTTTCTTTGCATTTTGTTCCATTTGCGTCTTCTCTTGATCTTTAATTTTCCGTCTGGCAATGTTTTCTTCATCAGATGGTGATGCATCCTCATCTGCACTCATCTCTATGATCTGCTTCCGGATGAAATCCTCCTCATCCATAGGACTCTCCATCTCTACTTCCTTATCTCCAACAGTCTTTTTCCTTTGCAGTTTAGGTGAAGGTTCTCCCTCACTACTGTCCTCAAAAGAATCTCCTTGAATATAAGTTGGAACCAAAAGTTTTTTCCGCTCTTTTTTTGGTACATCAATTTTTTGCTCTTGAGATTCTCCATGTTGGTCATCCTCTGAGCTGGGTTCTGGAGACATTGGCAACACCTCCAGTCGACGCTTGACCTTTGGAGTTTCAGTTTGTGATATCTCTTTAGATGTTGTCTGAGCCTCTAGTATTGGAAGGACGGTGCTTTCCAACTTGGCCAAGTCTGAAGGACTCATAGGGCTGCTTTCTTTATCTTTCTTACCAGGCTTCCTCAGTAGCTCACTCTCTTTCACTGGGACAGGAGCCTCTTCCTTATTCTACAAAACAGAAAAAAATAATTAGAATCTGACAAGCTATGAAAAACATGCATTATATTTATAAGACAAATAAGAACTACATAAGATAAACATTGGGTTTCTGTAGGTGTCTAGACAATGAACCTAGATTTTCTACAATTTATCTATACCTCTACCTGAGATCAACTGTGGGATACTGTAGGTGTCTACACAATGAACCTAGTTTATCTACAAGATATCTATACCTCTACAGCTACATGTACAGTTACCTCTCCAGATTCATTAATTTCATTAGACTTTATCAATGGCTGTAGCACATCATCCAATTTTTCTTGTGGTTCAGAGGTCAACTTCCCCTCCTCGGATTTGTTTCTTTCCTGTTGGCTAAATGTAGATGGTGGGGAGGCTACTTCTACATCATGGTCTAGGCTATGGGGCACACAATTAGCTGTAGATTCAAGTTTAGTTTTTTTGGTGACTTCCAGGTCAGTTACAACCAGCGCTTTTTCCATCAGCTCCTCACTGACTAATTTATCTTTTACACTAGATGTAGTAGATGTTACAGCAGGGGTTTGGACTTGTTGTGTAGACTGCAACTCTTCAGGCTTAATCTCAATTACTGCTTTTTCATCTTCATGCTTACTAACCACCAGGGATGAGGGGACTCCTATTTTCTGGTCAGTAAAACCTCTTGGCATGACAGACTGTTCTAGAGCTTTTTCTGTCACAGTGTCCGGAATTTGCCTAATTTCCTCTTCTACTGGAAATTTTTTTTCTACAATCTCTGAAACAGTATGATTATTAACAGATGATAGTTTATCTTTAATGACTTTACATTCATTCTCATTCTCTGTAATAACAGCATATGACTCTGTGTTTTGCTCACATACTTTCTCTGTTTCTGACATTGTTTTCTCTGGTTTGGGAGCAGCTTCTTGAAGGGCTGGAGGGTATGTATCCCCCATTTTTTTCTCCTCTATGTTTTTATCTGGACTAATCTCTTGTTCAGAGAAAGGGCTTTCAGAACTAAATTCAAATTTGATGTTGTCAGGCATAGTATTGAGAGTGACTTTCTGCTCTGTGTTCTTGAGGATCTCTAAATCTCCACCTGCTTGATCTGGCATACATTTTTCCAGCACTACTTTATCTGTGCTCATCTGTTCCTTTTCCAGTGGCTTATCCTCTCTTTCTACACAGAGCTCTTTAGTGCAGTGATCCTTTGGGTTATATTTACTAACATTTTCAGATCCACTCGCCAATATTTCTTCTGTGAAGTTGAGTTCAGTAACTGGAGATTGTGAGAGCTCATCTAATTGTGTTTGTGATGTGTCCTCTACCTCTATCTTATCTTCTTTTAGACTTTTTTCAGAATTCTCATCGTTATTATCTACAGAAATATAATTTGCAATAAGACTAGAATCTTTGCTAGTGACTTCTGACTTTTCAAATGGATCTTTCATCTCTAGCATTTTTACTATAACCTCTTCTTTGTCACATACATTTACATTATTTTGGGGGGTTAACTCTGTTGTTTCTGTAACCTGCTCTTCTGTTAATTCGTTATTCAAAATGGCCTCTGCTATGACTCCATTTTCAAGTCGATCTGCTCTATTTTCTGGCTCTGCAGATTCTTCCTGATAGGTAATATCATAGGATGGCTGATTATCACGGGGCTCACTGGACTCAATCCCTGGTGCCTCAATTTGCACAGAGGCCTCAGGTTTCCTCTCTGGCACATCCCCTATGCTACTTTGATCAGGATCAGTAGTTGCTGTCTCGATAGAGCTTTCCTTTACAGGCATGTTATCTACCGTATCTACATTTGAGGGTAGTGCGAGCTCTTCAGATTGTTTCTCTGTAGTCTGACTATGTGGTTCCTTGCTTATAGGAGAGCTTGCATTGGACTGTGTCATTTTGATCTCTGTGGCTGGCTCTGATGTCTCAGTGGATTGTGGCACTATTTCTTTTTCTGAAATGGCTTCCATGTCACTAACCAGAACGGTCTGAATAACATTATAAATTATAGGTGCTTCCTGGCTGCTTTCAGGCTCCGTTTCAAATGTATTAGCATATTCTGTCTTTTTGACCTGGCACTGTTCTGGCTCACTTTTCTCTGTATTCTGTACCGCTGCTTGGTCCTCAGTTTGTTCACCAGTTTCAGCCTGTTCTACATCTACCCCTTTAACATCTGCTGTCTCTTTTAAAACATGAGGTGAAGGAGGGGCATCTTCCTTAACTATTTGCTCAGTTATAGTTGCTACGCCCTCTGTGTTTTCATTCAGGGTGCCAGTTGCTTGTTCTTTGCTCTCTTCTGGTACTACCTGTGTACTCTTCAGTACTGGCTCTGCTGTAACCCCTTGTTCTGCATCTGTATTTTTGACATCTTTAGCATCAACTTTGGCTGAGACTGGCTCAGACTTGTCAGCTGGGGCCTGAGTTATGCTGGGCATCCGTGTTAGCCCTTTGGTGGGGGTGGCAGTGGCAGTAGGTGCAGAAGAGGAAGGGGTGGAGGATGCAGAACGGGCTGGGGAGGAGGAAGGGGTGGGTTCGTGTTTGGCTGGTAGCTTGGATGGAGAAGGTGGAGGTGGCATATCCCCAAGTTGCCCAGAGAGAGCCCTTTGGGTCTGGCAGTTTAGGCAGAGCCATTCTTTCTGTAAAAAAAGGAATAATAGCAGATTTGAGATGAAGTATTGAAAGTTAAGTTAAAGTTACCTCTGATTCAGAGATTTTACCATGTTTCACAACACATTTAACTAATAAACCTCTAATAATACAGCAGAGGATAACTCACTCTATTTCTGGAGTGCTTTTTAAATGTATGTAACTTAAAAGATTGTTCATTTATTATTAATAGTATGGGATGAACCTTTATCAGTTAAATGTCAGAAAAACCTGTTCAGCAAAAACTGCACCTCAACAGTTTACAGATGCTAGTGAATATATGGAGTGAACGCATATACATTTGTATGTGTGGTGGTGGGTGTATTCGTCTTTATTTTTAGGCTAATAGTGAAGTAAAACAAGCTAAAAGATTAAGCAGCTTTAAGCAGTGCTGTGTGGATATACTGTATGGTATTCCTCCAACTCACAAAAGTAGGCTACACAAAATTATCTATTTACAGACAATTAAATCTGCTAGCAAACACATTGGAAAATGCAGTAAAGGAAATGTGGTCTATACTGTAGTTGTTCACAGAAACTAGCATCCTTTCAGCATAATTTACTTGAGAGACCACATGGGGAAAAATTCCATCCTCCACTTAAGCTGTGATTGAGATTTGAACACAGCTCAACTAAAACTAACAACTGTTTATAATGGCTGTTTTCCCAGATATTCCAGCCCACAGGACTTTATTTAGATTTGAAATATGTATTTTCCAAAGAAAAACACTGGAGCTGCTGAAAGCTACAAAAAGAACAACACCTGAAATGTACTGAACCTTGTGACGTCAAGCAGAGCACTCCATGACACTGGATGCACCACAAATGGTAACGTCAGAGATGAATATTACATGTTCGTGGGGGATGCAGATGCCACATGCAGGCAATCCTCTCATGAGGAATCATGCCCCACTGGCTGACATAAATTCAGAGCGATCTATGTTAAGCTTCAGTGCTGAGGCATGCTTAGCTACGTTTTGGTTCTCCAATGGCTTTGCTGCAGGGTGTAGTCTAAATCTAGAGGAGGTCTGGGATCCCTGTTCCACGCGAGGGCAGAGACATTCTGAGATATGGATATTTCATACCACACACAAGTTGTATGGCAAGACCCATTACTGTATTTGGTGTGCAAGGACAGAGTTCAAGGACAAAAACACACAATCCTAATGAAACCCTATAAGATGAAAGAGTGATGTGCTTGTAACCTTATGAAACGTACTTGTATTTCAACATTATGCAGAAAGGTACATCAGAAGAGAAGGAAATATTATCCTTCCTAAGGAAAAAAATGAACAACAACTACAAATCAAGGAAATTAGGAAAACAAAAATGTAAAGACTTTCAGTCTGGTCAAACACTGCAGTAAAGTTCCCTGAATCGCATTACTGCCAATTATTATAACGATAAGCAAAAACAGATGTCTGCTCTCACTTTTAATACAGCTTGAAACTGAAACTTGGACTTGAAAATGAAAGTTGCGCTCAACTCCTTTTTATGCAATTCATCAGCAACAAAGTGATCTGCCCATGTGCCATATAACAAATGACAAGATCAGATAGAGGCAATGTAGACTTGGTCTTGGAACTGAATAAAAAAAACGAATCTATTTGACTCACAGGCTATCGACTTCAATTATAGTATGAAACATCAATTTTGAGTAATTTTATTCAATCTCTGGCCACTAACAGCTAACTACCTCTGCATGATCTGGCTAGCATACTCATGTATTTCAAAAAGCACTAAGATTTACTAGCCTCACAGACAGAGGCATTAAATCCAGCAGCCTCAAAGGTGAAGAGACTGGAACTGATACGAAATAATGAGAGTTCAGCCAGTCACATGATTTGTGGCTTGGGCTGAAAACACCGCTTGTCTTCTCACCACTCATTCTTTCATACTTGCTGAGTTTGCAGACAGGAATATCAGACAGAGCAACATGAAGTTTTTTATGAGGGCCTATATAATCTATGCCAGACTTCTTTAGAGCATCTCAGGTTGCTGATAAGGGATTGTATCTGAGATTTATTACAGATTATTTGAAAGGGAAATTTACCTCAAAGGGTGTAGAGAAAAAAGGGTATAGAAAAAATGCATGTTAATGGAACAGTCCATTTTAATTTCATAAGTTTTTCAGTGGAAGTGTATCCCATGAAGTTTGAATTAAAAAAAAAAGAGCAGTATTTGTGAAAATGAAAATTCCAAAAAGCATGGTAAGAAAAAAAACATCCCATCCTTCCTTACTAAGAAAACCATCTCTCATATTTATTGGGATACCATTTCAAGAGGGATTTTAACTTCTTGATTACAAAAGGTGTAACAAAAAGGTTTTCTTACATACATTTAAGCTCTTTCTTCTATGGAACATGCCCCTGATCTGAATTTAAGTTTCCATTTCTGTCAATCAGGAAAACTGTGCTTTATAATCCCTATCCAATGAGCACAGATGGGTGTGCTAACTCTCAAAGCCAGAATGTGTGTATGTGTGAAATCTGTCAATAAAGGTGTGAAACTGAGCTAAATTTACTAAAAGCCCAAAGACTGCCACAGACTTATTTTGATAATGCAATACACTCACTTACAACCTACCATATGAATCGAAGTTTACATCAAAATTTGTTCTTTACAGTTATTTTTTACAAATGTTAAAAAAAAAAAAAAAAAAACATTACTATGGCAATACTTTCAATCAGATGCTTTCCAAACCCTTGTCATTTTAATTTTTGATGTAAAAATTACCACAGTTTAACTGAAGTGACACAATAACTGCATTTTGGTAGAATCACTGGTTACTAAGGTAAATGTTTAAAGGGCTAGTAATGTAGGATTATCAAAACTATAATAGTAACTGCAAGTATACTGTAAATGTATCTAGATTTAGATACACAGAATAAGCCTTTTTATTTAATTTATAGATTCAAATGTGACCAAATTAAGTATTCAAGTCAAACTGTTTTCAACTTCTGTCATAAACGCACAATAAGCAAACAAATAGGAAGTCACATTTTCTCAATAAGCTTTCCACACACTTCCTCCTCCAAATTCTAATATCATTCACCGCCTCCTCTCTCACTCTCAATGCTCTTTCTTTCTCTCCTCCTCTCACATCCACCACCCCTCTTCCTCTCCTTATTAGCTAGCTACAGTAGGTCTGTGTGAGGTTCAAACTTCCTGTAAGACTCTGTGCTGGCACCATACTGATTTCCTGGTGCTGCCTGCACGGTTAAAATGTGCCAGTTTTCATTATACTAAGTGTCTGATGTTAACAACACATTAAGGGATACACATTAAAATTTGAGTCAGCATAACACGTGTAGTTCTCAGTGGTGAGATTGCTGTCTTTGTACACTTGGTTTGGAGCTTGGTTTAATGGAAAGGGTGCCTAGTGGTTGTCTCTCCATCATACACACAAAAAACACCTTCACATCTAAAAATACGACTGCTTTCAAAACATCAGGGACAGGATGGCACGTGGTGGACACTGCAGGAATGCGTCTGGCCTAAAAGAGAGCCTTTTGAGTTCAAAGGAAAACACACACAGTCACATACACGGCAATAAAAGCTTGCTGCCACAAAGAGGAACATCTCCCATGATGTCCTGCAGTCATTCTTGGCTCTGCCTCTACCACTCTTTTGCCACTGTGGCTATTTTTGCCTCAATGTACAAAAGAGTACAGAGGCACAGCTTTGACTGCGAGCCAGACAGACAGGTAGAATAAAATACAGATAGACTGGACAAATTAAGTCACACTGTATGATTAAGCCAAGAACAAATAATGAATATTTGAAACTCCAGATAAAACAAATATTTGGTGCCTCAGCGTGACAGGACATTCACATGGACACACCGTCCTGTAGATTAAGAGACTCAGAGGTGTTATTAAGAAATGCAGGCTAGAAATCAGAAGATTGCTAAAGATAAACAAAGCAAACATCATAATCAAACAGACAGGCGGACAGATCTCCATGGCGATGGAAGGCAAACATACACACACGTCTGTACACATTATATAAAGTGATCAAATAGACAGATTGCGAGACGGCACTGTAGTTATGGGAACAGAACAAGCAGACAGAGGAAGGTTGAGTAGCTCTTTAAAGCGGATATGAAGTGTTCAAGCTGAAGTATTTGGAAGAATTAAGGAGTTTAACTTCTCATTTCTAGACAAAAATGTAAACAGACGTGCAAAATTTGGGAGGAACTTGTTTATCCAGCTGATCCTGTCAATACATGTAACATATTATTTATTTTTTAAACGTTTCAATTGTATGCATGTATGTATGTACAGGTGCATCTCAATAAATTAGAATGTCGTGGAAAAGTTCATTTATTTCAGTAATTCAACTCAAAGGCTTTAAAACACGAGCTGTCATATTCTGTGATTGTCTCTAAAGAGCGCGAGCCCTCACACGTCACACGCGCTGTGTGAAGTACAAACTGAACGGATTGTTAACACATCCCACCGCTGTATGGCCAGATGACACGCAAACTACGTTTTCTCGACTGGATAACCAGTCTCGCTAGAAAAGTTTTGATGGATGAATACTGCAAACAAGGTAAAGACGATTGCGGTGGCGTACAGGAGTCGTACAGTAAGCACGCGTGAGTCCATTATAATAATGCGTGTATGAGTGCTCTTGACGCACTGATTGCACATTGTATTGAGATGCACCTGTATGTATTAGGGCTGTCAACGTTAACACGTTAACGCATGCAATTAATTTTACAATCCTTAATGCGTTAAAATAATTTAACGCAATTAACACTATTTTCATTTTGTGGTGAACTAACCCTTTAAAGCCTTTACATATAATGCATTATAAAAGTAGTTTTAATGCATTAATTATGCCTTGTAATGCACCTTATAATGCATTGTACATGTGTCATGTAAAGTTGTAACCACAGTTAAGACATTATAACACTTATCAATTTATTGTTAAACTATGCATTTTAAATTCGGTTATAATTATTTATGACAAGATATAATGTATTACAAAGCACATTATGAATAATTATAATGCAATATAGCCTTTAATAACCCTTTATAATGCTTTATACATAAAGGCTTTAAGTAAAATGTTAAATTTATTTCTTTGGAATAATTTGCAATGAGGAGTCATGCACATTGAGACTAGGAACGCATATTTAGAAAGTAAATTATGATTTCATTTCGACTTGTATGTAAACTGGTGAAATGCATATTGACAATATTATTCTCTGTTGAAATGCATCCTTTTTATCAAAGCCAGAATGCAATCACGCCTGCTCTGCAGCTATAGAGAGACAGCAAAATAGCATGAAGCAGTTCTGGCTGCTGGATGTTCAGATTTAGGGAGGTGGTTGATTATGTAAAACTGTGGAGTTCTGCTCTGAGGGAGGCCACGCAGTGCTGTACCTGACCCCGGGCTGGAAATACTGAGGAAGGGGAGTCAACTAAATCTATTACACTGGTGGAGTGGGAGGTGGATGGGTCACAGTGAGCATGAGTGCGTGGGCAAAACCTTGGAGAATAGAGGCATGGCAAAAGACAAACAACATGCACTTGATTTCATGTTACACTGGGCTGTTTGTGACTGTATGCATGGAATGAATGGGTCATCTTTGAGGTGGGGGTGCATTGTGGGGAGGGATGACACATCAGGTGGCTGGCAAGTGACTCAAAGCCTAAGGCAGATGGCCAACCGAAGAAAGAAAAAAAAACACCCGAGAGTGTGAAATCTAATCCCTGGTCCAGGTCTCTGTGGGACTGTTGTGAAACTGTCAACACTGTGCCACACAGAAAAAGCGTCACACCTGATTTGTCCAACAATGCCTACCTCATTAGCGATAAAAGGATGATGTTGAATAGCTTATCAGCTAAAATGACATGTGCAACTAAGCGCAGTCCTGCCAATTACGAATTTGGACCACTAAAAACATTGATATAGGCTAATAGTTAAACAAAAGAATCTGATTAGAGTCTGCGGATACAATTAAATGTCCTGGGTTAAATACTGTCAAGTTAAAGGAGTATTTCATGTTCAGAACAAGTAAAGTTTAATCAACAGCATTGGTAGCATCATGTTTATTTCCACAAAAATTCATTTTGAGATGTCCATTGTAATTATGCATGCATTTTGATTATGTCTTGTGGTTATAATACTGCAATAGTCAGTATTTTATTGTGAATGGCTTAACCCCATTCACTTCTGTTATGCCTCACTGTAACCCAGATACTTGATTTTTAGCATAGGACAGACATCGAAAATGAAGCTGAAATTACATTAGAGGTTATCAACATTATGACACAAGTGCTGTTGGTTGAGCTCAACTTACATTGAACCTGAAATGTTCCTGCAAGACTTGAGCAAAATGTTCGTTTAAATTAGTGCTGTCAAACGATTAATCGCATGCAAAATAAAAGTTTTTGTTTACATAATATATGGGTGTGTACCGTGTATATTTATTATGTATATATAAATGCACACACATGCACATATATATTTAAGACGAATATGTTATGTTTATATATTAAATATATTTATATATATAATAAATTATATAAATATATGCATGTAAATGCATGTAAATATTTTCAAAATATATACGTGCATATGTATTATGTAAACAAAAACTTTTATTTAGGATGCGATTAATCGTGATCAATTGTTTGACAGCACTAGTTTAAATAAATAGAGCATGTTAGATTCTGGGCAGATTCTTAAATGCTTTGTGTTTTATATTATACACAGTCTGTGATGGTCTAGGGAACATTTCCAGCCTTCAAAACAACCAGTGAGAAATGCCAAGAATGAAGATGAAGAAAGAATAGAGACAGAATGGGAGTTAGGAGAGAGTTAGATGAGGCAGAGGAGCAGCGCCACAAGGAATTCCAGTCACATGAATAAGTGAAAAATCTGATGGAGAAGGTGTGTTGCCACTAGAGACATAGGTAAGAGAAACAATGAAGAGAAATAGAGACAATCTTTGAAAGCTAAAGTGTGTCATTAAACCCTTGTTGTACATATTGAGAGATTTTAAAATATGGCCCTACAGTGGCCTTTAGAAAAACTCAGCTGTTGCCCTTTAAATCCTGTTAGCTCAAACAGATTACTACACAAACTCTCACATGCACACTCGCCCCACATTGTCACAGTAGCACAAGTATTGTTGAAATCTCACAGGAAGAGAGAGAGAGACTAAATCTAATCTCAAGTGAGGATGTTCTTCAAATGGATCCTGATAACGCAATTTTGTACGGCCTTGAGCCTTTTTGATCAGGACGATCTAACGAATAAACAACACACTGCAAAGGCATGTAGTCTCATGCATTAACGTCTACTATAATAAGGCCTGTCTGCAGTTAAAAATGACAGGACTGTCTCTGCTTTCAGTTCTGGTCTAAGCTAAATGGGGATCAGTGTTGTCAGCCATCTTGGTAGGGTACTCTTGACAGTATAATAAGTGAAGTCATTGGCTGCACCATGTGAGGTGAAACCAGACGCAAATGCTCAGGCTAATCTGCTTGGAAAACCTGAAATAGACTCACGGGATTACAGAGAGAATGAGAAACCTGGTGTACAAACCCACGATCAAACACAGGGGGTGTTTTACACATGAGAGCCATCAAAGGCCGCAGCGTCGAGGTCAAAACATGTCAGCTTAGCAAAATCTGTTCATACGGATGGAATAACACGTGAAGTTCCCTTGAGGAATGTTATAATTTGTTTAAAGACATGCTCTCACTTGGAATAACAATTCTTGTTACAAAGAACTATACAAAAATTTACTATTTACCACAGTAAGCAGAACGTTTTATTTCACACAAAAAAACATGCACTGTATAATAATTATAATATTAATAACCACTACCACAAAATGTATCAGAATATACCCGATTAGGCTTATTCTGCAGCAACTGATTTGGTTACCAGTTTAATATAGTGGCTTCTTTCCATATGAAAAACACTTCACGTTTGTATGTTGGAGGACAGAACTTCAAATGAATACATTTAAATGATCATAGTCATAGCCAAATACACTTACATTAAAAAAAAATAAAACACACACACACACACACATATTGTGAGATTTGATACAGCTCCAGGAAGACAACTTTGTGTCCCATAGGAGACAATTATTAGCTCCGAGTCACATAGGCAGTTACCCTCACCAGACAGACTGATGTTGACACACCGGTCTGCATGCAAGTGTTGCTCTACACAGCCAAATCACAAAGAGCAAAAGCATTTTTGCAACTTTATAAGGTCTGGGAAGAAAAAAAAATCTAAATTTTAAAACCTGATATTTCCAGGCATTCCAAGACTGTGGGAACCCTGTAATTAGCTACTGTAATTAGCTACTATACATTATAATTTAGTAGGTAATTATAGAATATATAGTAACTAATTATAGAACCTATTAATCAACAAAAGTCCGCGAGGTCTAGATCCTTCATCTAGGCAACTCATGCTAATATGAATCATAAAATGACAGCAAATTTTATGCATAATAAACACATTAAAGTTATCATTTTACATAGTTCACCTAAAAATTTAAATTTATTCTTCATGAGGGTGAGTAAATGACAGAATTTTCATTTTTAGATGAACAATCCTCTCAAATATATTCCTTTGCTCATTTTTAAAAACATTAAAACATACCTCCCTACCTTCTGAGTTCACTAAAAAGCAAAGGCTAATTTCCAACAGGAAGTGAGTTGGTGAGTCATCTGAGATGGGATCAGACTATGAGTGCAGACACATTCTTAAACACATTCACTCGAAAAGGTTCAGAGTGCATTGGATTACACAGTGAAGTGTCAAGCTTTTTAAGTAAACAGGGACAGGAATGATGAAGACTTATGTATAATGCAACAGAACAATAAAACTTCAAAGAGCAACAGCAAAAGAGAAATGCTTGAACCGTAGATCACCCAAAACCCATTGTAAATCACACCTTTGATTACTATAAAAAAAGGAGCACATACAGTATGCACACCTCAAAAACTGACCAAAACAAACTTTTGTTCACAGCACATATACAAATTCTTGTCCAATAAAATGCCCTCTAGAATAAGCATGTCCCATCCTCCTAAATTATAAATACCACCTGCCTACGACAAGCTAACGTAAGTAGCATAAATAGTCTTTTAGTGTTGCTGGCCGTGATGAAAAACTAAAAGCTACAGGCAGCTAAAAACAGAACAAGTTCTTTGAGGTGTTCCGGCCCAACTTCCTGTTTTAATAGGAAATACACCAATAAACTAAGGTAAAGAATTGCTCAAAAACACTTTAACAAAGAGCTGCAGCAGAACTCTTACCTCTGAGAGATGTGGAGTGGGGTTGAATCCACACAGGTTGCACACAGTCTTCTGGCACTCTGTACAGGTGCTATAGTTAGGTGACTCTCCTGATCCCATGTTCAGCTTCACTTTACAGAGTGGACAGCAGGACTGGGCCTCAGAGCCTGAAACTGGTGTCAGAGGCCCCTCTACTTCTGTCGATTTTGGAGGGGGCATGTCCGCTGATGTTTTTCCTTCAGCAGCTGTAGGTTTTGGAGATGCTGTGTCTTTGGAATAAGCAGGTGGTGTGTCAGGAGGTGACTCTGAGCCTGAGTCAGGGAGGGATCCGGGAGGGGAGTCTGCTTCAGATCCAACGGGGGAATCAGGGGGCGATCCTGGAGGAGATTCTGGGGGAGACTTTGATTCCTCCCCAGAAATGAGATTGGTGGCAGAGCTCAGGATGGAAGAGCCAAAACCAAACATCTTTCCAGACACGCTCTCGGCAGACTGAGAACTTGCTGGCGTAGGTTTAGCCGACTCTGTGAGACCACTGAACCCACTGAAGAGTTTTCCAGTGACCGACTCGCTGGCCTGAGCAGTAGAGCCGGCCTGAGGTTTGGACGACCCACCAAAACCACCAAAGAGTTTTCCTGCGACTGACTCGCTAGCCTGAGCACCTACAGAGGGTTTTGTCACCTCTGTCAATCCTCCCAGACCAAATCCTCCAAAAAAGCCCCCTCCATCTTGTTTTGGAGTAGTTTTTGCTGGAGAAGGCTGAGGACTACCTTTTGGGCTCTGTGAAGGTTTTTGAAGAGGTGGAGGCTGTCCACACTTGGCCCCTAGTTGTCCTGGCTGAGGTCCCTGCTGTGGTCCAGATTTTGGTGTAGTTGGAGGTGTACTTCCTTTCCCAGTATCAGCAATACTCTGTTGTTTGGTCAGCATTGGGGGCTTCTTCCCTGGCTCACCCTTAGAGGGAGACCCAGACGGTGACTCTTTCCTTTGTGGGGAGGGAGGTGCAGAACCCTGCTTGGGGGGCTGTTTCATCATTGGAGGTCCAGGAGGGTCCATGCCACCCACTGCCCGCTGCATCTGACAGTTCAGACACAACCATTCCTTACCCTGTGGAAACAAACAGAGAAAGTCAAGGCACACAAACACAGATGCAGCAAATACCATTTCTGTAAGAATATTGATTTGCATTACCTCAAGCTCATTAGAAAATAGCAATCAAAATATTTTCATTTATATAGCCAGCCACTCAACAGAAACACCCAGTATGCAATGCAACATATTAATTTGTGGAGAACTTGCTGTTATCATTTATTCTTTGTAATCCTTTATTCTTATTGGATTGATTAGTAAGCTCTGAAAGTCATGAATTTCTGATTTAATTATATGAATAACATTTAATTTACTTTTATTGTTGGTTTGGCTGAGTCATTTATTGCAATGCACACTTTAAAATCCTTTAAAAAACAAGACTAACACTGTACACTCATCACTGTGTGAGTAATACTGTTATTCTCTCTAACAGGGACCAGGAATAATGCCAAACGTCTGTATAATCACTGCCTTTATAACTGATGAATGTAGTTCCTAAACACATTGAAAAACAACTTTCTCCACTTCCTGTCTGGGTGATGTAAGTGACCTTGATAATCTTCCTCCTTCTGCGCCAATATTTTCCTCCCAAACTCATGGATGAGAGGAATTAGTGCAAGCAGCATTTTAGGCAGAACCAAAGAAGGGTTATTAAAACAAAACCCTGCAGCTTTAATAAAAAAATATGAACTGATTTTGCTGATGTCTTCAAAGAAAGACTAGAATAATAGAGCCTTGTACATTGTGTACGAAAAGCTGACAGTATATGTCCCTCTTATCTATATCTGGGTAAAAAGTGAGACCAGTGTGAGATCTATGTGAATGATGGAGTGAAGGCAGCAGATATGTCTCTTACCGCTGAGTCTGGTGGACTGAAGCCGCACAGGTTGCACACCTGCTGTTTGCACTGAGTGCAGGTGTTGTAGTTGGGTGGCTGGTCTTTAGCCTGCAGATTCAGCTCTGTAGAATTACAAAGAGGACACATTGCTTTCCCTTGAGCCACCGGCCCAGGTTTACCCTGCTGTTGAGGTCCACTGGGTTTTGCTGCAACCCCTGGACCAGGTTTCCCAGGCCCTTGTTGCTGGGGGCCTGGGCCTCCAGGTTTGGGTCCTTGCTGTTGAGGTCCTGGTTCACCAGGTTTAGGTCCCTGTTGTTGGGCTCCTGGTCCCCCAGGTTTGGGTCCCTGTTGAGGTCCTGGTCCCCCAGGTTTGGGTCCCTGTTGGGGTCCTGGTCCACCAGGTTTAGGTCCCTGCTGTTGGGGTCCTGGTCCCCCAGGTTTGGGTCCCTGTTGGGGTCCTGGTCCCCCAGGTTTAGGTCCCTGCTGTTGGGGTCCTGGTCCCCCAGGTTTGGGTCCCTGTTGGGGTCCTGGTCCACCAGGTTTAGGTCCCTGCTGTTGGGGTCCTGGTCCCCCAGGTTTGGGTCCCTGTTGGGGTCCTGGTCCCCCAGTTTTAGGTCCCTGCTGTTGGGATGCTGGTCCCCCAGGTTTGGGTCCTTGTTGAGGTCCTGGTCCACCAGGTTTGGGTCCTTGTTGTTGGGGACCAGGACCTCCAGGTTTACCTTCAGGCCCCTGTCCTTTAGGTGGACCTTGCTGAGGTGGCTTACTCCCTTGCTGCGGAGGACCCTTGCCCGCTCCACTCTGTGGGCCAGGAGGCTTTCCTTCCTGCTTTGCAGGCACCTCTTCCTCATCATCACCAAACAAACTAAACTTTGGGATGCTGGCAGAGGAGACAGCAGAAGAGACCGCACTCAGGGGGTTGGCCCCACTCAAGAAGCCAGACGAGAACATGCCAGCTCGTGGTTGTTCTGGGTCTTTGGGCTCCTGCCGGAAACGTGACTCAAGGAGGCTGAGGGAGGAGGGGCTCCGTCCAGGCTTTGGCTTGGGAGGCGGCCCCTCTCCAAATGCATCTACAGTCCGACTTTTACTGAGACCTGCTGGGACTCTGGTGCCACCAGCTTGAGTCTCTGGTGGCCTGTGGAGTGAACAGACATAAGGTCAACTTCACATTCATTAGTCTCAAGTCAACATAGATTTAGAAAAATCTGTGATTAACTGAAATGTACTTTATTTACGTAATAGCTATTCTGTATAAATTCGAAAAATACATTTCAAAGGCCAATGCAAATTATTCAGACATTCAAATCAGAAGCAAAATTCATGCAGCAGAAAAATGTAAATCTAAAATTGGCTTCGTGGTCACAACGTAAGACAAACAAGATTGAGACATATCCACAATACATATGCAGTCTATTACTGTTGTCAGTGAACAATATTTAAATAGTTTATTCATTCTAAGAGACTGCAGCAACAAAACACACAGAAGAAGTCAAAAACAACGTTAATTGTCAATATTTTTATCACAATTAAATGTGAAAGAAAAGAAATACAAAGGCTAACTAAGGATGCGCCAGAACTTAAAAGCCACAAAAAAGGCCAAAATTAATATTATATGCCCTCAAATTATATACCAATGGTTACCTATAACCTTCACATTGTGTTCAAAAATTTAACAAACATATTTGAGTTTCCCAGTTAGGGTATTAAAGTTCCCATGCCAGAAGACTGCTCTCTTGGTTAGTTTTTACATCTGTAAAGTTTCTCTGGCCTTTATGTTATTCTAGTAATGCCAACTGAAGAAAAAAGAAGTGTAATTACTTATCAAAATATGATAAGTTTAATAGAATTTATTTATCAAAAATAAAGGCTAATTTAAAGTAACATTTCTTGGTTTTTGGCCCATTTTCACCATAATTTAATTTCAGTGCATCACTATTGTTAGCTCAGTGGCTGTTCAGCACAGCATCTTAAACGGTTAGTGGTTCTCATGGGCGTTATTTTTACATATATTTGAGTGTCCTGTCATTCAGCCTCCCATAAAAGATAATCACGCCACGTCTAATATTCGTATTGTTTCTGATCGAGCGGCGCTCTTCACTTAGGCAGCACTGCACGCGTTTCAGCACCACGGACAGCGAACAATATATAATATATTTAACTGTAACGCAGTCCTTGTTTTCAGGTGTAATACTACACGCACGCTCCCCAAAAATAAGCAAAAGCGATCAATGAGCATAATGGCATTTGTGCTTGCAGTGCTATATTTAGTCATATTAATATTTATACCCCCTCCCCCCATTTGCGCTTGGGTAAAAATAACACATTTACGCCTAAGAAACTTTAAAGACACAATTCAATTAGCTTACGAATGAGATCATGTCAAATGGAATGTCGATCGCGTGCTTTCAAGTGATCGAATTTTCATAGACGTGTGTTATTCTCAGGCAGTGTTTTCCAAAGCTGCTCATGACATCACCTACACAGCCCATAGGAGGAAGATGGAGTGTGCATGGAGAACGCAACGGATATCTGGATACACAGAGGACGGATATTTGTCAGTATGGATTCATATTTTTCAAGGAAATGCTTATTTTTAATTCAATCTATAACCCTGGTGTCTTGCATGGATTGAATAAGGTGGTTTAAAGAAAACTACATTCATTCAAATACTATGCACATCCACTGTGCACATACAGTGTCCCACCATATTAACGATGATGATACTAATGATAAAAAATGCGTTTCGTTCAAATCAGCGGTAGGTTATACCGATATGTATAGCTATAAAACAGAAGTGCACTAAGGAGGTACTAAATTGCAATCATATGCATGGCTGAAAATTGGGCTGGATAAAATATATCGCTATAAAACGGCCGGAAACATGCAGCAAGAGCGTGAATGGGTGTGATCATGTTTTGCATCGGTGCTGCTGTCGTGATGTGCCAACCTGCAGTGCCCTGATGATCAAAACACAAGCACATCATCGACGCGTCCAATGCAAGCGCTCTGGCACTGGAGGAACGGACATCATCATCACGGCAAACATTTATAGACACTTCAACTTGCCTGGACTGCGCTTTGGCCATAGCGGCCACAAGCTGCTTTCTTTCCTCCTCAGATAGATTAGTGAGGTCTGCCTCCACCCCAGCGGGCATCTTGAAGCCACCCTTCCCATCAGGTGCGAGTCCCGCTGGTAATCCAGCGAGCGCCCCTTCGCCGCCTTCGAGGCTCGCTTCGTTCCCCATGATCGACCCCCTTTCCCTTTTAATCCCCCTCCCTCCAGCTAATTACGCGGCGATACGGCTCTTAATGTCCGGAATAAGGCGACGGCGTCGGTATCCGCGGTTGTTTTGGATGCATGGCGTTTTGTTTCTCCGTTTCAGTCGAGGGTCTCTGTGGCGATAACGCACGCTATGAGAGCATAGCCTCTCCGTGCGGGTGTTGGTCTAGAGTTGTGCGCCTCCCTCCTCCATCCATCCAACGCGCATGTCCCGCCTCTCACAGGTGATCATAAAACGTCGCCGTTGGAAAAAACGGAATTAAAGGGACAAAGCGTCTTAGAATGAACAAATCTTCTCATAATTACCGTTTATTTTGCTTTCAAGCCGAGCCAATAATTCCCTAATTAACGAACCGATTTGGTGGAGAGCAGCTGGTTTTGTAGTAACAAAACCTGGAACACTTTGCATTACAGAAAGCATGTTACACATAGGCCTGTAAATATGTTTAATTAGGTAGTTGACAGATTACATATCCATTAACTTTTTTTTTCTAATATCAAGATTTTTTGTTAATTTATAGACAGGAAAAACCTGGGCTAGTTGTTATAAATGCACTCATTTATAATGCACTAAGATCTCATTACCTTTTAAGAAATAGTTCACACAAAATTTGAAACGTTATTGAAAATTTACTCACCCCCAGGCTATCCAAGATGTAGATTAGTTTGTTTCTTCATCAAACAGATTTGGAGAAATTTAGCATTGTATCTCTTGCATTTAGTTTGTATTATGGACTAGTATTTTGGCCACAAGTAATGGTTAAAAGTTAAAATGATGTAAAGGTGGATTTGTTTCTAATCGCTTCACAAGACATTAACTGATGGGCTGGAGCTGTGTGGATTATTTTTATGTTTTTATCAGCTGTTTGGACTGATTCTGACGGCACCCATTCACTGCAGAGGATCCACTGGTGAGCAAGTGATGTAATGCTAAATTTCTCTAAATCTTTCCTAATGAAGACACAAAACTCATCTACATCTTGGATAGCTTTACGGTGAGTAAATTTTCATTTTTAGAAAAACCATTCTTTAAAGTTTTGAGTAAAAAGTCAAAAAATTTATGTTTTCTTTTATGGTGGCGCCAAACTAAAATGTATAAGCAGTTTCATGAGTTGGTCTGAAGTGAAAAAATCTACAAGATATTAAAACTACAAACTCTGCAGCTGAACACAGTGTAACCAATCAGAGCAGAACACCAGGGGGTAACATTTTATGGTCTAAACATTATTAGTTCTTACTTTAGGCTACTCTCACTTCCACATTATCAGCACTGTATTTGATATTGTAGCATTATTATAAGTGTTCCCTCAGCTCTTAGTACTTGAATTTATTCTTAGCTCCCTGCTCTGTTACTTTGGTGATATTTGCACCTTTTCAAGCTGCTTTGAGAAAGAATATAATGGTTAAAACTGTAAAATAAAACCGAAACAGTGCTGTACCTTTCTCTACTTGTCTGCTTTGGTGCATAAGAGTGAATTACTTGCCGTAAGGTTTAGCCATCCAACCACTGCATAGATCACACATTCACAAACACATCCATTCACAGACTCAGTCATCCTGCTCACAGATCTTCTGCTGAATAGGAATCATGAGTCACTGCATCAATATGTCCATAAGTCATCAATATGTCCTTGGCTTACAGCTATGCCAAGGGCCTGGAGACAGAAGGAGACACTGAAGGAGTTCGTCACCAATGACTTCTACAGAGTCAGAGGGAGAATTTGCAGGGACACATTGCCCGCTTTACAGGGCTGTATGTCTTGACAGTGCCGTTTGTCCTCAAAATCAAATGTTAGAGGACACAAAACCTGTTGGTTTCACAGAGAAACAACATTGCAGACGGTAGGTCTGAAGGCTGTAGGATTTTCATTTTGCTCCAACAATAGCATGTTCTATGAATTGAAACCCAGAAAGCCTCAGACATGCAACTTAATATAACAATGTCTGAGCAGCCTTGAGGAGTGACGGAAGAAAATCCTGTCTCCATTAGCAACCTTTATCGATTCCCACTTTTGTGCAGAGATAAAGCTGACTGCAGGATCACTCTCACCAGATCAACACATCACTGAGCCAGTTCTGAACAAAACATATGGGATAAAATTTGTTATCCAGGGCTGAATACATTTCCTAAAATTCTTAAACAGTTGCCAAATTAAATGCAAAAACACATTTAGTGAGTCATTCTGAACTTAGAACCCAGTGAATAGACCAAAACAGATCCGATTTTACAGGAAGTGTCCATTTTCATTGCATAATCTAATATGGAGATGTGATAATGCTAGAATCACTTCTGAAACTAAAACCAGAGGTGCTTTATCTAAAAAAAAAAAAAAATGTCTGAACCATAGCCTAGCTATTAGCACACATGCATCTGACATTTTGAGCAGTAGTGATTTCCTGATCCTGCTGGCCCCTCTACTCCCAATCATTTTAAGTGCTTTCTATAGTGTTTCATCAATAAAAATGGCAAAAAAGGCCACAGGGAAAATCCTGAACCAGCTAATTAAAGTCTTCCGGATCTCTTGAAAATTACAGACAGGTGTGTAACAGCAGGGTTGGAACCAAACACGGCAGGAAGGAAGATCTCCAGGAGCACGACTGAGCATCTGCTTTATCTTCAGCTATGGTTTTAACAATGCAACAGCTCCATACCGGAAACCAATTAGACAAAGAAAATGAATGCTTACTGTAAAAATCTGATCCATAATTTGTCCATTTACAGGGTTACACCAACCAACACGCTTAATCATTGAATGTATGTGTTATTTTAGTATTTATTTATATACTATTATATGTAAATGTATTCATATTTTGAATTAGCTTCGGACTTGTAACCCGAAGGTCGCAGGTTCGAGTCTCAGGTCCGGCAGGGATTGAAGGTGGGGGGAGTGAATATCCAGCGCTCTCTCCACCCTCAATACCACGACTGAGGTGAGACCCTTGAGCAAGGCACCGAACCCCCAACTGCTCCCCGGGTGCCGCAGTATTGGCTGCTCACTGCTCCGGGTGTGTGTTCATGGTGTGTGTGTGTGTGTTTCACTACTCACTGCTGTGTGTGCGCACTTGGATGGGTTAAATGCAGCGCACAAATTCACACGTCACGTCCTTTCCTTTTATTTTTATATTTTCAGTTTTTATTTAAATTTAAGTTTTAACACATTTTGATTTGCTTTTTTATTTTTTTTACATATTTCTATTTAGCGTTAATTTTATTTCAGTTTTAGTAATTTTAGTACTTTTATTTCAATTAGTTGCCAAAAATGACCAAAAAAAAAAAAAAAACTTAGTTTAGTTACCAAAAACAACACTGGTATCATTCTTTCATGTCAACTGCACACACTTCTGCAAGATCTGGCCTTTTCATTCAAGGCTCAGACACCAGGCAGTCATGCTACTACATGCATTTCATACCTATAAGGATCTCAGATTCCTCTAATGCAGTTTCCGGCTTCCTTTTAACTATTACGTGTTATCCTCTCCACCCTGTTTAACATCAGAGTGACGGCTATGTGATGTGACAGTGGAGGCTTATTCAGCCCAGTCCACAGCTCCAGGGGGAATTCGTCCTTGCGTGACCAGCTGTTGTCCCTGGGCTATATCGAGGAGATGGACTCTTATCAAGATCCACAGATGCTCTAACCATCTCCACACATCAATTAACCAGATCAAACGGCATTAGCAGTAAGTTAAGCTCTCTATCATGACTATCTGCTGTTGGCACCACAATCAGGATAAATACAATGACAGGAGAGTCAAAGATTACTATTATTGCTGTTAGGGGGTTGTCCTGCTCTTATTCCCACTTTTCCTCTCCCTCTCGTCTACAGTGATGAACGGCGGCCCAGAACAGACAGACTTCCCCACACAGGGCTGACCACTGGAGCGAACACTAATGACATTAATGCTCTGAAGCGGAAGTACACACACATATACAATGTCACACACACACACCATTGTAAATATAGCTATGAAACCTGGTCAAACTGTTTTTACCGTGCCATTCAAAAGTTTGGGGGCAAGTTTTGTATTTTTTTGAAAGAAGTATCTTATGCTCACCAGGGCTGCATTTATGGGCTGCACAAAAAACAGTAAGATTGTGAAATATTATTTCAATTTAAAATAACTGTTTTCTATTTTAATTAAAATGTAATTTATTCCTGTGATGGCAAAGCTGAATTTTCAGCAGCCATTACTCCAGTCTTCAGTGTCACATGACCCTTCAGAAATCATTCTAATATGCTGATTTGGTGCTCAATAAACATTTCTAATTATTATCAATGTTGAAAACAGTTTTGCTGGATTAGTGGAAACTGTGACACATTTTTTCCCCAGGATTATTTGATGAATAAAAAGTTAAAAGGAAGAGCATTTTTTTTTTTTGTAATAGAATGTTTTGTAACATTATAAATGTTAAAAATGTAATCAAACTTTTGAGCGGTACTGTATATTCTATACCCACAAATGCTCACCTGACTTCCTGTAACAGCCTGTCTCTTTAATAAATACACATACACACTCATATACACACATTGTACACATTAATAATGCTTTACAATGTGCCAGTGAGTGTGTGTGTGTGTGTTGCTGTGCGACATGTATGTATGCCGGTGTTTATGGGTGACTTACAGCGCTCAGAGAAGCAGAGAAGTGTAACTGAAGCCTGAAACCTAATCACACACACAGTGCGTTGCTCATTAAAGTTGAATATGGGCTTCAATACAGAAAATATGGCTGGCATGACCCTTCAGATGAATGTAAGGGAGATAAAACATTATTAATAAAAGTTACACACAAGCTGTGAGCTTTATATGAATCATGACTAGTCTTCAAATCAGGACAGTGTGGTAGTTTTGATAATAATTTCTACCTGTAAACATAATACGATTTCTGTCGAGAATATGATTCAGAAGTGACTGTGCAAGTGTATATAGTCACTAACACATACAAAAACAACTATCACACATGTGGCAAGAGTTATAAGTGCTGCAGAGTTGCAAGAGGAAGTGAGAAAGAACTGACAAAGAGATTTAAAACTGGATGCAGAAGAGAGCAAAGGGTCACATACCTGCACTACAAGCTGTCTGTCTGTTGTTGGCTGTAGTACTTGTGAGTGGACAGCT